ATAAAAAGTCTCTTTCCAGGAACTTACTATGCGGGGCTCCTAAAAGATGAATCAATATACTCTCATTAAGTTTCTATCCTGACCGTTTGTAGTCAAAAAGATGAGTTCTATGCAAAATCCAATACTAATTGTGTAACATTTTTTAACTGAGTAAACAGAGTTTAGATCATTCTCTCACTCTCTCTCTCTCCTCCAAATGCAGTACTACTGAGAATGAGCTGCTCTGCTGACTGATGCTGTTATGTTAGTGAATTTGAAAGTGATGTGCCAACACTAAAACTGTTCTATGCAATATTCACAGTGGTTATTTTTAAAACTTACTTGACGTTAGTTAAACTCATGCTGCTGCAAGCTGTTAAAAGTGAAGCATGAATTCAGCCGATGTCCTGTAATGCCTAAAAATATTCTCTGTGTACAGAACACTGCTTTTCAAAGTGAATTGTGTTCACTCTGCCTTTCCCCAGAAAGGCTGGTTGATCCTCAATCTGAAAATTATTGTTTTTATATCTTGATTTCTCCAAGACCCAAATGCATCTCCCAGGACTTGTAGTGTTTGAGTTTTGTGTGAGGGACTTGGCTGTGGCAGATTTAGAAGTAAATTGTCCTTTTTCAATGGGCAACTGGATCAAGTCCAATTAACTTTTTGTCAAAACATACAATTTGAAAAACTATAGCACAGAAGGAGGAAGGATATCATCCGGCCCATGCTGGTGCTAGTTGCTACACTAAAGCTGTGCACTTAATCCTAATTCCCAATTCTTTCCCTGGACTGTTTATTTATTGATTCTCTCAATATTCTCCTCAAATTTCTTGTTAGATGTTAGTAGCTACTTCAGCAGATGTTACACGTTAGTAGCAACTTGTGGCAAGGCATTCCAAGCTAGAGCAACTTATTTTGGGGCAACTTAATCTTTGATATCCACTGTTGCTGCTGGGTTAGTTTGTGTTACAGTTTACCTGAGGTTCTCTTCCCTCTTCCTGACCAACAGAGGAGCAGCTACAGCACTTCCTCTCTCTTGGATGCCAACAGGACCAATTAGCAACGGTTTACCCCTAATTCACATTCAAATCCCTGACTTTCTCGTGTCTTGGACATCCTCCCCATGTGAAAGACGCTATGCAAATCTAATATTGTGTTGCATTGTACTGTATCGTATTGTACAGCTCCTTCTCAATCGATGCCCCTTCATTCACAAGTGCCTCCACCTGTCAATCAATCCAATTTACCAATTCCACTGCTCCCATTGCCTCCCTTGTTCTTCCCCGTTCCTCCGCCCCCCTCACGGATTGACAGCCCAACTCCAATCGCTTCAGTCGGCTGTCAATCCTCTTATCTTTCTCTCTTCCACTGATAAACGTCTCTTTCAATGACACCTGCAGATAACAGTTAAAACATTGGCCACATTCAGTTCAGTTTCCATTTCTTTGCACTTTCATGCAGTATGTTGCATCAGGATACATGATTTGAGTTCAAGCTGTACATCTGCTGGGAGTCAATATCTCTGTTGATCTTTTGATAACTAAATAACATAAGAAAAAATAGTAACATGGAAACCTACATTACAGAAGGAGGCGATTCGGCCCATTAAAACCCACTGGCTGACAGAGCAAGGAGATCCATTCAATCCCACTGCCCCGTGTTATCCCCATACCCTTCAAACAGTGGTGGACTTACTCCCCAAAAGGATTCAGGATTCGGCATAAAACCTTTCTTTTAAAAATTGTGTATGGGCTTAAATAGGAGGGTGGGATCCAATTTCCCATTTAGTCAGTCCACTCCTGCCCTCAAGCCACTCTCTATTGTATGCCTAGCTATTTCCTTCTAGAAAGCCACAATTGACTCCATCACCATTCTGTGTGCCAACAACTCTCTGTTGGCTGCTAACATTCAGAAGTTGTTATACTAATATTCTCTTCCAGCACAAGAACTTCTTCGATCCAATTGGGACAAAGTGCAGTAGCCTGATATTTGTATGCATCATCAGTGGCCCACCCACAGCTGGTGTTTAAAATAGCGACCAGACAACCTGAAAAGACCCTTTGTGTCAAATTATTGTGTTAAGATCAGGAGGGAGAGGAGTGAAGTATATTGGCTGGTGTCGACATCCAAAACCTGTTGATTATTATTTCTTTTTTAATTGATTCAATTCAATCATTTTCTCAGGTGTCACCCTGGCTCAGTTGGTAGCATTCTCTCCTCTGAATCAGAAATATGTGGGCTCAAGCCCAAGTCAGGACTTTGACACTCCAGTGCACTGTTGGTGGAGTGTTGCATTATTGAAGGTGCTTTCCTTCAGATAAGACATTAAACTAAGATCCTGTCTGCCTGTTCAGGTGGATGTTAAAGATCCCAGGGCATTACTCGAAAAGAAAAGGGAGTTTCTCTGGTCTCCTGAGCAACAATCTCCCAAATAACATTGGTCACTCACAGCAATGCTACATGCAAGTTAGCTACCACATTCCCCAACAAAAATAGTCTCCCTCTACAGTACATCCTGTGTAGTGTTTTGAAATGTCCTCCCATCATAAAAGGCTCTATATCAAAGGCAAGGATTGTTATTATTATGAAATGTATCACATATGTCATCACCCCCCTTATGTGCCCACAAAACCCACTCATGACAACTCATCAGAAAGCAGTGTTGATGGTGTCAAGCTGAGCAGCTCTTTCACTCACTGAGAATCGTCTCACCCAGAAGGCAATGAGATAAAAGCAAATCAAAAAAACTACGCATAAAAAAGTTAAAAGGAATTGTTTGCAAAAGATCAAACACCAGTAGAATTCATTAGTGTTCGTATGTTTAAAAATGCATTAAGATTCATTAAATTGGAATATTTTAGGTAAAGATGCCTTTACCAGCAACAATGTAATAGTATCTATAATTCAGCTTGTTATTAACTCCTTTTGTATTTTTAATCTGCTTTTGAAAAATTCAGGTGCTCTTTATAGTTTTCGATCCTGCCTCGAGTAGATTTATTCCTGACCTTTAGTGTTATTTTCATAATGTATTTCATTATCCCATAGCCTTTTGGAACATGCATTATAAATACACACCTGTCACAGCACACCGCCCATGGGTTGACAAGTTGCATACAGTATTCCGTGGCACACCATTTGTTGTTAAGATTGTAACACTGCTCGACTTGAATTACTCTTTCTGAAATTAATTTAACATTGCAAAATCCAACACGTTGGACGTTTGCTCTTGGTTTGCTCTTGATTCAAATCTAATTTTGACTCCTGGCTTGCCAGTAAATTTCCTGATCTCAGAGAACATTTCCCAAGGTCAGCGAATGAGCACAGCGGCCTCAATATTCCAATCCAATATTTGATTAAAGGCTTGGAGGATTTGGCGGGAGATGAACAATTATATGTTACATGGTTTATGGAAGTGCCATGCAATTCACATTCAGGTTAATATTGATCTGATTAAGTGTTAAGTGATTATAATTCAGCTTTCTACTAATAAATAATTATTACATAATAAGTTTTAGCTACTACTTTATGGGTATAATTGCAATTACAACTGCATTCTATTTTCCTGTTTCACCCAGCGAAGGATATCTCACTTTAAAGTAAGTGCAAGCTCTTAGGTGCTATGACTGCAGTGATTTTTACCAGCCATCCCTTCGATGAGATGTTAAATCGAGGTCCCATCTGCCTAAACAGGACCCGTTACATATCCTATTGCACTGCTCGATAAGAGAAGGGAGTTGTCCAAAATAGATACATTTGTCATTTATTTGTTTGTGGGAGACTGCTGTGCACAAATTGCCTGCAAAATACTATCACTACAATTTATAGTAAATTCTTTGAAGTGTTTTGTCCTTTCAACCTGAAAGGCACTACATCAAATGCAAGGATTATTTTTATTATCAAGTAAATGGTGCTTAATGATGCACAATTTTAGCTGCTACACTTCACAGTAAATCCTGTGAAGTACTTAAGAGATGTCCTTCTGACTTCAAGGGTGCAATATTAAATGCAAGTTTTATTTAGAATAGGTTGTGTTAAACCTTTAATTCTCTAAATGATTTTCAGTGCTGTAACATCATTGCAATTGCCATCCCAATATAGTTGCATGTCTTTTGGCAACATAACAACATGGTTATTAGAGTCAGCATCAACAAGTCAGCCAGTAAGCAGCTTGGGATCCTCGTCATTTGAAAATCTTCAACCCTTCAGTTGCAATAAACATCAAGTAAAGTCAATAGAGTCTTCTTGTTGCTGCTTAGATCAACACATCCAGCGATACATGTATAATATAATTAACAATCCTTTCATTTAATATAACACCTTATCCTATCATTCAGATGTCTCAAAGTGCTTCACAGGATTTTAGTGTTAAGTGAGAGTTTCTTTGTAGACAAATACGGAGGCCAGTTTGGACAGAGAAATTGATTATAGCCAACACAATTGGAGGGGAGGTTGAACATAGTGGAGATTCCTTTAAATACTTTGAAATTGTACCTGATCTGGGAAAAAGGACAGATCGTTCTACAGTACAGCACTGGCAACCTCTATTTGAAAATTAGCACGGATGGTTTCCAAAGGGTAGTGATCTCTTTGACATAAAGTTAATTCAAATGAATAAGCATTACCCCTCTGAAATCACACATGTACTTGGGAAAAAAAGCAGCACAATGAAGAATAAGACACTGAAACCTTCCTCCTAGGGGTATCTGGTACCTGTTTTCCCGTCACCTTGGCCAAAAATCCCGAGACAAGGGGTGGGGAAATCTGAAAAGGGCGAGGTGTGGAAGATGGCTGAAAGCATGGTGAAAGTGGCAGGCTTTGAATGTGAGAAGGGGAAAGGGTGAGATTCTTATAAGTGACAGGTAAAGCATTTGCATACTTTGAACCCCTATGGTGTCCCTTTGACCTCAATCCTAAGTGCTAAATACAACAATCAATGTCCATTTTGCCATTGGTACCTTTGAATATCCAGGCATCTGCAAGATCACCACAGTCCTTCATAAAAGTGCAGTCACACACGCCCTTTACATGTAACACTTGTACATTTTATTTTAATTAAATCAGCCATCGTACACATTGCAGTTGCTATGTATTTGTTAGTGTTTTAATTTTGTTTCCATTTATCCTTATTCTAATACATGCCCTCATAGATATCATATACAATATTTGTTATCACATTGGGAACAAGATGCTGAGTCGTCAACTTAAAATTCACTTCTTCTCACAGTCTGAAGTTCTTTGATTACACAGCAAATAAAATAAAGTGAAATAAAACAAAAAAGTATAAACCAAAATGTAATTACAGAGACATCATCTGCGCTGTAAATAACACCACAGGGCATGGCTAGAACAGATATGCACTCCTTCCATCGGTCTTCATAGTCAGTCAATGCAGGCGTACAAACTACCAAAATAAGCACTGGCAATCTGCCTGCACTGTCCAACCGAGTCAATATATTTCTTTATTTAACTTTCTGAGCACTGAGCGAATTTTGTCCTTATATTAAACAAATATCCATAATAACTTAAGAAATGTACAATAAGATTTCATGAACACATTAAAGAAAGGAGAGAACCAAACAATTCAAAATACTATATAATCAATATCATTGGATCGTGTTTTTGTTTTTCCTTTTCGGAGGCAGTGAGCTGAACTATTTCCCCAGTGCAAAGATGGTTAAACAAGCCTATATATGATTACCACAGCTATAAATACTACATGCATGTACAAAAAGAAGCCAGTCTTGTTAAATAATGCTGAAATAACCAAAGTATTCGGTCTGGGTTCTTTTTCCTTTTGTAACGTTCATCTCAGTTTCAGTTATCTACAGTGCAGGTGCCAGTAGAAACAATCAAACCGCAGGAACAAGAGCATGTGGATTGGTGGAAGCAGTGAAGAAAGTTGCAAGTTCTAGAAACAAGTAATGGCAGCATGAATTACACGACCAAATGTAGTAGCCACTTTTAAAATTCATACTAATGCAGTGGATGCAGAAAGGTCTGATACATTAAGTACAGATGCTAGCATATTTATTAAGCTATTCGACTTCAAGAAATTTGAGGGACTGCAAGAGTCTCAAGTTGCTCCCTATTAGTCCTGCACACTCACGATCTGTCACTATGGCAACACTTAGCAATTCTCTGTTCGGCAATCAAGAAGGGACTTTTGTGTTCATTGGCGATCTGTGTAGTCAAGATAGGAGTGTCTTAGTCTCGCAAGCTGAAACGGTTTTACCATGTAGGTTTTTTTGTGTGGTAAAGTCCTTTTGCAACAGAAAATGAGAAGAGGCCTGTGGATGAAGTTGATATTCTGTGAGCATTGGACCTGATGGTGCAGATTGGAGGCAGCAAGGATTAGTGTGTTCCTAGTACAGCTGTAAGAGGAAGCTCTGGTGTTCAAACAGTAGTAGCCATCCAAAGATATGGATGCCATCTTTGGTCACAAATTAGCTTACGGTAAAGAGAAAAGGCGAATTCAATTCTACTTTCCTCACGGATACCTCAGTGTCTTCAGATGGAAAATAATATACAATTCTTCCTGTGAAGTAGTTTGAGCAGTGGGGACAGAATAGATATGTGTGATGTCTTAGCTGTTTATTTTCTCTCCTGTATCCAGTCCTCGCCACAGAAACGACCGAGAAGTTCTTGTAGGTCGTGTTTCAGGTCATCATGTTGTAGTGCTTCAGGCACATTCTCTAGCTGTTCCTCGTGTATGTGCTTCCCCTCCCGATCCGTCACCACAGTCCTCTTCTGTGTGCTAGCTTTACTCATGGTCGTCCTGAAAAGACAGAGGGAGAGAAAAGGGGAAACCAAGGAGAGAGGCGTAAGGCAAACATCAATAATCAACATAAAGAGAGGGAAAGAGAAAAACAAAAGCCAAATAGTAATAAAACCAAAGACAGAAACCAAGAGACCAGGGAAAGGATGAGAAAGCACAAGAGTGAGAGTGCAAAGGTAAGAGTGAGAGTGCAAAGGTAAGAGTGAGAGAGCAAAGGTAAGAGCGAAAGAAAGAGCGAAAGAGCGAAAGAGCGAAAGAGCGAAAGAAAGAAAGAAAGAAAGAAAGAAAGAAAGAAAGAAAGAAAGAAAGAAAGAAAGAAAGAAAGAAAGAAAGAAAGAAAGAAAAGAAATCCAGCAGAGCGAGAGAACCACAAGGAGAGCAAAAGGAATAAGGAAGAGAGAGAAAACCAAAATTAGTAAAGAAAACAGTAAAGAATGAAGCACAAAACAGATAAAAAGAGTGAGTGTATTAAAGTGTAATGGGATAACCAGGGAGAGAGAGAGTTCAGTGAAAGAGTAACCAATGACACTAATACTACAGTATTTCTGAAGTTCCTTGTCAGTTTATTAAAATTTCTTTTTTTTTAATGAATTTGAATTGACTTGTATTTGGCGAGGCATAAACCTCACTCAAGAACTAATATTACACTTTCAACTTTGGCATTGGCTATGGTACCTCAGTTGAGAGGATGATTGATGAAGATATGAACATCCCTAAAATTAAATCTCAGGTTGCTGAAGATGTTTGGAATTTTTTGTGTGTCAGCTGGGTGTCTGACACGTGCAGAAACCCATCACCGTGCTTAAGAGTATCCAAGAAAGTTCCGAGGATGGCATCTACTCATGGAAATTCTCAGTCTCGAATAGAAATGCACATTCTCTCTTTGGACGGATGGAACTTGTTTAGGTAAACAATCATGCTCTAGAGACAATAAAGAAAAATGCTCTGTGATCATTTTAAGATATCTTTGGTCATTCGTGTAAATGGTGTTTCAACCTCAAGCAATTTGTGGATCTTATTTGAAGGCGGAGGGTGGCTGCTATCTTGAATGTACAATATTTGTTATTATTTACAACCTTCACCTGCTCTGAGAAATGTTGTGAATATGGATGTTAGTACTAAGTCCATGTAGGTTCTGATTTGCATGGGAAACTGTCGTCATGAGTGTTCCATGGGACACAAGCTGAAGCAGAATAAAAATTCTTATTGAGACTGAGAAATCACATACTTTATACATTATAAATACTGAACGCCCAGGAGTGAGGACAGTTTTCTACAGTGGGATACCGTTTATTCCAAACAAGCCTTGATGTCTCAGTAACCCTGGGTGTATTATTATTGCTATGCATTATATAGAAATCTTTGTCTTAAATTAACATTCTTTAATCCAGAACAAGATTGGAATGAACAGATTTGTTATTCTAATTGCTCCCTTGAGAAACAAGTTTCCCCCTGAACTTTATGATTGATAAGTCATGCTCGGAAGCTTATAGACATTTTATTCATCTTGAGATTGTTTTAATGCCATCAATAGATGTCACAACCAATTCCAACTGTGAGTACACTCCACTATTGCAACAGTTTTGTGCTTCAACAACAACAAAATTACATTTGTAAAGTGCTTTTCACATCAGGAGGAGGTCCCAAGGCACTGGACAGACAGAGTTACGTACCTGAGCTGGGGGTCAGGGAGGGTGGAGGGCAGGGGGGGAAGCAGGGAGATCGAAAGTACAGTCGAAGAGGAGGGTCTTAAGATGGGTCTTGAAGGTGGCAAGGGAGGAGGCGAGGCAGAGGGACTGGAGGATGGAGTTCCAGAGGGTGGGGGCAGAGTGGCAGAAGGCCCGCCCGCCAATAGTGGGGCATGCGAGACGAGGGACGTGAAGCAGGCCGGCGCCCGCTGAGCGGCAGGAGCGAGCAGGATGGTAGGGGGTTAGGAGGTCGCAGAGGTAGGAGGGAGCAAGACCATGGAGAGCTTTGAAGGTGAGGACCAGAATCGTGAACTGTATCCTCTATGTGATGGGCAGCCAGTGGAGTTGGGCGAGGATGGGGGTGATAGGGTCGCGGAGCCGAGTGCGGGAGAGGACACGGGCTGCAGAGTTCTGGATGATCTGCAGCCTGTGGAGGGAGTAGTTGGGGAGGCCGACAAGTAATAAGTTTGCATAGTTAAACCTCCATCAAGCGTTAGCACAGGGGACCAAGGACAGAGCTGCTGAGGAATGCCATACGAGACCATCTGGGGGCTGCAGAAGAAGCGTTTGTGGAGATGAAGTGCAGGCGGTGTGAGGGGTACGATCTGAACCAGTCAAGGACAGAGTCGTGGAGGTTGAGGTGAGAGGAGAAGCGGTAGATGAGGATAGAGTGATCGACGGTGTTGAAAACAGCAGAGATGTCAAGGAGGACGAGGAGGCAGAGGGAGCCCTGGTCCCAGATGGACAGAATGTCATTAGTCACTTTGACCAGAGCTGTTTCTGTGCTGTGAGCGGCACGGAAACACGATTGGAGGGGTTCGAGAAGGGAGTGGAGGGAGAGGAAGGAACGAAGCTGGGAAGCAACAACTCATTCCAGGACCTCGGAGGGGAAAGGGAAGATGGAGATGAGGCAATAGTTAGGGAGTAGAGAAAGGTCCAAGGAGAGTTTTTTAAGAATAGGAGTGATGACCGCAGTTTTTAATGGGGTGGGAACAGTACCAGAGGACAGGGAGAGGTTGCTATAAAAAAAGTTAAAAAAAATAAACCCTCCAGTAAACTCAAGTTAGCTTCACGTGTTTGTTCTAGAGTTACCCTGGTTAATGGTTAGTGTATACTGATCACAACGTCACTTACACAACAGTGACCACTGTTCAAACACTAACTGTTCACACGTCACTAAAGCAGGCAGACCTCCATCAAGCGTTAGCTGGTCAGTGGTACTCCTTTGCAGGAGAAACAAGAATGCTACAAGCCAACCCAAACCTTTTAATAACTGATCCATCCTCTTTTACAATCTCTTTCTGAACTACATTTGGGATGTAGTCTTTTCCGTGGCTCCCTGCAAAACTTAAAGCCTGGGTGAAATGGAAGACAATACAAATTTAAAGGAGGTGTGAATATTACTGCGATGACAATGTGTGCAATCCTTCTCAGTGAAGTCAATCAAAAAGGTAAGCAGGATATTGGGCTATATTGCTAAATCAGTTGAGTTTAGAAGCAGAGCGCTGTCACATTCAGGCTATATAGTGCTCTGATCAGACTGAACCAAGTGCTGTAGAAAACAATGAGATTGATCCTCAGGAATGAGTTTTGAATAACGATTAGACAAGCTGCTTTATTCAGTCATGAGAGAAGATGACTCAAAGGGAACCTCATAGAGGTGTATAAAATTGTAATGGGATTAAAAAAGTAAACCCAGAACAATGTTTTAGAATGCACCAAGACTGTAGATCAACAGGACATAGGTTTAGAGTTGCAATTTCAGGACAGATAGCAGGAAGTTCTGCTTTACGCAGCTTGGCTCAGTGTTGGCACTCTTGCCTCTGAGTCAGAAGGTTGTAGGTTCAAATCCCACATCGGGTCTTGAACTCACATAGTCTAAGGTGACACTCCAATGCAGTGCTGGAGGTGTGTTGCATTGTCGGAGGCGCTGTCCTTCGGATAAGACTTTAAACCGAGAGCATCTGCCTGTTCTCCCCCGACCCCCAGCTCGGCTCTGAAACGCTGTACACTGTCCAGCACCTTGGGACGTCCTCCCGACGTGAAAGGCGCTATACAAATGTAATCTTGTTGTTATTATTGTTGTTGTTCAGGTGGACATTTAAGATCCCATGTCACTATTTGAAAAGAGAAGGGAGTTTCTCCTGGTGTCCTGACCAATAAATAAATCGCTTAAATAAAATTGTTCACTAACTCAATGGCTGTTTGTGGGACATTGCTGTGCACAAATTGCTGCTGCATTTGCCCACAAAATACAGTCACTCCACTTTACTGAATATCCTGCGAGGCATCTCAATGACGTTGATAAGGCATTATATCAAATGCAGGGATTATTATTATTATTATTACTTAGAGGGTAATTAATGACTAGAACAAGTTTCCAGGAAAGGTATTTGAAGCCAGGACACTGGACTCATTTAAAAAGCCACTTGAAAGAATATTATGGGAAGACGATAGGGTGGGTATTCTCAAGGGATGAGATCAGATAGGTTGAAGAGCCTTCCTCATGCAAACTGATCTGGTGAACTTACGAAAAAAAAGATTGGTGCAATGATCATATCTTTCCAGCAAATCAAAGTGGAGGTGCTGTGTCATTGTGATCAGAATAGGATCTCCGACTGTATGAAAAGCTTTAACGCTGCTTTTGAGACAACCATTAGCCACATCAGTTTCTACCTTATACAGATAGCACCTTATTACATCTATTTTAAACGCTCGAGATTTGAAATACCTGAGGCAAAATATACTGAGGTTTTGCATTCTGAGGTGCAAGTAGTGCACACAATATTCAGCAGATGGCATCATGGAGTGTCTGGAAATTATTCAGGTGAAGTGCTGCAATGCAGGGCTTTCACTTGGTCAGTCAATTATTTTCTATTTATAGTTTTGTTGTTTTGCCATGCCTCTGATGTTTTACAATGTATCTCACTTATCTAATGAACACACCAATAACCTGATCTTGCAGGCGATCACTTAGAGCAAAGGGGACGTATTCCTCAAGACCCACCTTATAACAACTTTGTTTACAAAATGCACTGCACAGAATTTTAGTCTGAGTTACATTTCGCAGCATAAACAACGCAGGGCAAGAAATTGAACATTGAACATTGTGAGGTTCTAAATCTTTCGTACCATATTGAAATCATCTTTGGCTGTGGGAAGGTCAGAGGATAATTTGGGGTCGCCCAGGTGTTTCTCCATTCTATCCCCATGGACCACGGTTGTCTTGACGACTCTGCTGACTTTGCGACCTGCAACTTGCTCTGACTGGAATTCAGAGCCAAAGGCCACTTGTGGTTCTGAGAAGGTTACCTGTAGATACAAATACAGGCCTTTACGTTATTAATGCAGAATACAACCCAGTCAATCGGTGGATGACTTTTCCAGGGGTAACAATCCCTTCAAAAAAAATAATAATTTGGTCACTCAGTCCATTACTGTTTGTGGGATGCTGCTGTGCACAATTGGCTGCTATGTTTCGCCCACAAAAATATTGTCAATTCACTTTACAGTATATTCTGTGAAGCACTTTGGTGAGACGTCTCAAAGACGTGATAAGGCACACAATATCAAATGCCAGGATGATTATTATTATTATAGAATAACAAGCAAAATCACTCTTTCTTAGAAATATAAATAGATGCTACTCCAAATGAAATAGCTCCAATGGCTCAGTCGCTAAAGGTAATGTCCATGTGACCTGAACATGCAAATTAGAAAGGTCTCAGATTCTGTGCCTGATTTTGTGGTCATTTAGTTACTTAAAACTGGAGTCACAGTTGGCCACTACAATTCACCTCTGGATTTCTGGACTAGGGAGTGGAAAGAAATGAGGATTTTCTCCTCCCGTTCACTGTATAGTGACATCTGCTGGAATGCATAAATGTAATTGAGATCTGCTGACAAGAATATGATTGAGCATGGCTATGATGCTACTATAGGCTGTAACACTCACTGCTTAGTTGAAGAATGATCACTGAGGCAATGTTGGATCAATGGCATCAAGAGAGGCAATCCAATGGATTACCCAAGAAATTTAAGAACAGAGATTTGTATAATCTGTAATTATGCTGCAATGTTGAGAATCAATGTAGAATTGAGCTCAGACCTGATTGACTGAACTACTGAAATTTTAGTACAGAATTAGCACTAGTTTTGTATCAAATTAACAGGAACGTATGTAAGGCATTAATTCAGGAAAAAAAAGGACAAATCTCAAGTTATGAGTAGAGGGCTAAAGCTAACCTCACTCTGCTCACTGTCACTTTTCAGTACAGTTCTCTTTAAGACTTTTGAATACTCATCGCCATCTTCAATTGTGATCGGTTTCTGCTCTTCCCCTTGCATTACCACCTCCTCCGTTTCAATACCATCAGGTGAAACTATGCGTCTGATGATTTTCCTGGTAACCTGAAAAAAAAGGAAAAAAATGGTTTATTCACCATTTTTATAGCAACTTTTCATGTCAAATAGTTTCAAATCACTTCACATGTAATTCCTGTCAAATTTAGTGTTTTTTTGGGAAACAGACATAAGGTCCACTGGCGGGTGGGTCGGTAACCCGAGGACACCAATTTAAAATAGTTGTTAAAAGAAACAGAAGGGAGGTGAGGAGAAATTTTTTTACACAGCGAATTGTTCAGATCTGGAAAGGGTGGTGGAAGCCGATTCGATAACAACTTTTAAGAGAGAAGTAGATAATTATTTGAGGACAAGTTTGCAGGGCTATGGGGAGTTAGCAGGGGATTTGAAAGCTCTTTACAAAGAGCTGGCACAGACACGGTGGGCTGAATGGCCTCCTTCTGTGCTGTATAATTGTAATGATTCTATGATATGAATGATATAATTGTAATGATTCTATGAAGGTGAATGGCTAAAAGGTATAAGCACAAACACTTTCTCTTATTGACAAAATATCATTTGTCACTTTGACCAGGGCTATTTCTATGCTGTAGGCCGCATGGACACCCGATTGGAGGGGTTTGTGAAGGGAGTGTCGGGAGAGGAAGGAGCGAAGCAATGACTTGTTCCAGGACTTCGGAGAGGAAAAAGGAGGTTGGAGATGGGGCAGTAGTTTGAAAGCAGGAATGGGACCAGGGAGGGTTTTTTGAGGATAGGAGTGATGACAGCCATTTTTAAAGGGGTGGGAACAGTGCCACAACCTATGCTATACAAACAAAACCTTTACATATGTGGAACTCTCAGTAATTTGATCTTAACTATGGCGCTAGGCTTCTATTAGATACCTGGCTGACCAAAAATAGACAACCCACAACTCGCTGACCAGATACAAGAGTGCTAGAAACAACACCACCTCTTCATCTCTTCATTTTACAGCACCAATAAGCATCACTTTGCTTTTTAATCATCAAGTCAAAAGATAAATTGTCTCCTTGTCCCTGCCTAGGTATAATTAAAGAAAAGAAAAGGTTATACAGAGCTTATTTGCCTCAGTAATGCAATACCTTTTTCACAACAATATTTCCATGTTCATCTGTATATTGTTCTTCTGTCACTGTCTCTGGTAGAATATCAGGCATGTCATCAGCCTAGCAAGTGAATTACACTATTAATACTTTTACTTAGATAACCTAGAATATATACTATACGAATCGTCCCATGGGGCCAAAAATGCAAGCCATAACAGGATTATCAAATAATTTGTAAATATTGAATCTTTCCAGTAATCAGGTGTGCCTCCCACCAATCCACAGAAACTCTACTCCGAATCAAATGCCTTCCAAATCCTGCTGTGAACCCTGCAATTTTGACCGCTATGTAACGATTATATTGGGAAGGAGGGAAACCATGCAGGTTTTCACTTTATCCACTTTAACTCCTAAGTCCCAATACTGCTTGCATTTGTTTGATATGGTGCCTTGTCACACTGAAACAAGTCACGGCGCTTCACACAATGACTCGAATGAACCAAAGTGATTATTGTTCTGTAGGCAAATGTAGCTACTAATTTGTGGCAGTAAATACCCCACAACATGGCTCATAAACATTTGTAATCTTTTTGTGAATTTGAATGAAGGAAGAATATTTGCCGTGATACTGACCAGCTCTTATTCAAAATAAATCTATGAGAGCTTTAATACCCTCTAGCAGAAAAGGTGGGAAGAACCTTGAGTTGATATCTTCTCTAAAAGGCACTCCCATTAGACTGTCAGTAGCAAGATCCTGTCTTAACTCTGATCATTTTAGGTAACATGGTATTTTTCAGCCTAATGCTGTGATCAGTCAGTTGGACACCCAACGCATGGCTTCTTGGTTCAACCATTGAAAAGGTCATGAAATCAATGTCTGAACTCCACCAATTTGCATTTTTAACACGTTTTAATTAGCACCACCAGTGTTAATTCACACATCACACATTGCAAGTTTCACCCCAAAGATGCTTAAGGAAGATTTGAAGCCTGGAACACTCTGTAAACAAAGGAGCAGCTCTCAACAAGCTGTTGTTGGCTTTTTAAAGAGAGTGGAGCTCTTACCACCTGGTTTCTGCATCAGCTGAAAAACCGAAGCCTGGTGTGGTCTCTGTACATGTAATTTCCTTGCTTTTTTCCTGATCTTACGGGGTCTCTGAGTCAAAAGCCAGGGATAGGTATATGTTCTGACAGGGGAACATTCTTCGTTTACACTTACGCACAACTTTGTGATTAAATTTATGTCAAAACATTCAGGAAAAATACAAGAGACGTTATCGGTTTGCTCCATGAGAGCGGGCACTTTGCATATTGAGGCAAAACAAAATAAATCTCAAGCGTAGACAAGAATTGCTTCCTACGTCTTTAAACTGTGAAATTTACCAAAGTAAAGATTCCAACCAGTGCCAAGAGCTGCAGTCACACACGACAAGCCACACACAATCCTAACATGCATTATTGAATAAGCGTCGGCAAAATGGATTTAAGGCAACTATGGTCTAGATCCAGAACTGGTGCAATCCGTCGCTACTCTTGTGTTGATTTAAAGGCAGAATCCAGCATTCCTCCCACTGGGTACCTGAATGATAACCCGTCGCCGGATGACCCGGGTAGTTACAGTCTCCTCATCTGAACTGGTCTCCACTTCCCCCAATTCTTCTGCTATCTCCTGGTGAAGGCAGGGAAGCAGACAGCATTGCAAAATCTGACAGACTTGAACCCCCCCACACTATTATTCGCCATAGGTTTACCCATTTTAGGTCTGTAATTTGCTATAAACTGTTTTCGGTTGAGAGGTTATTTCATGCCATCTGTAGGTTGATTTAAATGCTGGATTCTTGGTCCAGCCTTCAAAATCTGCATCCTCCTGTCACTTGAGATGCAAGTCAGTCATTTCTGTGAATTTCTCGTGAAGAGCATTGACAAGGCAAAACATTTTCTATTGATAGTATCTTCGCAACAAGATAACAATGGTAATGTCACTGGTTTTTAAATGATTCTTGTTTCCTGGGTGTACAGGCAAGTTTATCTTCCATTCTTGGTTACACTCACACCAAGGCCCAAGTACAGTCAACCTGCTCATAGGCTTCCTTCATTATTGCTATGAAAAGGCCACTAGAATCAAGCCCAAAACTCGTTGCTCTTACCTGGCCAGAGACAGCCTGTTCTAAGTAAAAAACAAGTGAGTCAAACAACCATTACAATGCTGTGTCTGAAGAAACTCTCATAGCTCTTAAATTTAGTGGACATAGCCTCCAACGCTTCCTCAGTAAAGGTAAAACTACTGATTCCTAAAAGCTGCCCTGAAACATTTCCTGCTAAGCACTATTTCTGACGAGTAAGTGACCACTTTGTATTAAGTGAATTACAAACATTAAAAGGTTTTCACTCTATATGCCACTTCATCTCCACTGCCTATCCCACCTCAGAAACATTTTCTGCAGGTGAAGTTAAGTTGAATTGAATTTCAGCTAGTTCATAGTTCTCTATGAGTTCATTCGCTATTTAGCAAAGCCACTTTCCTCCACACTGTCCAGTGAAACAGGAAAACTCGAGAAGATTTTCTGATCGTATGAACAAATACCTGCATGGTATTTGCCTTGCAGTTAAAGATAGCAGTAATGATTCATTTGTTCCAGTATCAAAGTCAGTGAGGATCTTTACTTTAAAAATGATGTGATCAAATTAATTTAGTTTTGTCAAAAATAAATATCTGTCAACATGCCTAATCTGCTAGATATTGAGCAATTTAATGGTCCATTCAATATTTCGCACAAAGACTTTCAAAAACTGACATTCCGATAACCAGCAGTTATGCTACAATCTATTGCTTGGATGTGCAAAGCTGTGGGTGCATTACACTAATGATTGCATTGGTAGGTCCATTTTCCACACATCTGTCTATGCTCAATGTAATGTGTATTGAATGTACTATTAGACTGACCCCCATTGATCAAATGGTTACAAAAAAAAGAAGCACAAACATTAACATCATGGGCATATTGTCGATGCAGAATTATGCCTAATTCTGCATCAATAAATCCGCTATCGCCCTACAAAGTTCATTTCACTCTCACTCATTGTTTGTACTTAACTAACTTTAGGTTAATTTAATTGATTCTCCTATCTACTGAGCTGTCCTTCGACACTCTTGATGCTCATTTTCCTCATGCTTTGCTGAGAAAGAGAACACCAGAAAATAATGCCACAAAACCTACTCAGAGAGATGTATTTTTCTTTAAGAAGTATCGTTCTACTGAGAAGGGAGCTCCGGGCCATAACTACGCTGAGGAGAGGAACATCCAATGCTTTGGTGGTGGAGATAAGACCTGCTTCTGTCTAGCCTGATCTCCTAAGCTGTTAGTTCTTCCCGAGAGAATGAAGCTCTTTATCACCCAATCTCTGCATCAGCTGAAAACCAAAAGCCTGATGCATGAATAGACATAGCATCCATTAGCAGAAAATCAAATCACAAACAATAACATGGCTTTGCATGGTAGAAATAGGTAAACATCCTGTCCTTGTGTTACTCTTCCTACTTCATAAGGGTCTTACTACTGTATTACCTTTTCCAGTGATTCCTCAATGGTTCTCTCAGAGACCTGTGGATGTTCCTCTGTTGTTTCCATTATAGTAGGGCCAGCTGCCTGTGGAGCTTGCACTCTCTCCAACATCTGAATTTCCTCAGGCTCCTGGATAATGGGGCTTTGTTCCTCTATCCTCAGCTTGGTTACTGCAGTGTCCTTCGTCTCTGGCTCCTCGTCTTCAGCCTCAGGGCTGGTCACTCTGTGAAATGGAATTTCATATCATGGGAATATTAGTTATTTGGACATTATTGACTACAGTAGAGATTAAATGTTAGCTTTTGGAACTCTTCCACTGCTCACCATCCTTCACCTCTGCAGTACCCACTGGCCTTATTCAGATTCAGCCTAAACTTAAAAGCTGGTTTCCCCGCAGGTCTTAAAAGAGAACCAGCTTCCAAATTACGACAAAGTTACAGAAGCTTCCAAAATTCTGCATGATTGCATCATCTTAAATTTTACAACAATGGTCTTTAAGACTAAGACCACGTGAAATGCTGAGCCTCAAATATCTGTGTGTCTAACATGCCGCCCTGGTGTTAATGACAGGAGCATGTAATATATGCTATCCAATTGGAAATTTGGGTATTCCACTCACTCATATTTCTCACTCCTTGACTGAACCTGCAGGATGCTGATTTGAGCTTTGACAGCCACCACGTGAAGAATTGAAATCTCTACACACCAGGCAGAAATAGTATTGGTGTCCCAATGTCCCAACACATACGTGCAATTATTTAATATCTTCGTTCAAAGTTAAAATTTACTAAAATGACAACTACAATTTGAAACAATAACTGAACAATGCTATAGTTCCTTTTCCTGACTATGAGCCAGATGGAAGACGAAAGCTTACTTGGGTCCTTCAGTCTGATTGTCAGGAAGTGGCTTCTGCTCCACCTCAACCTCTCTTTCCTTTTGAGTTTGTTTCAAGAGCTCCGAGATTGATAGTTCTTCCCCTGATTCCTCAAATTCCTCCTGCAGCTTTGTTCTGATTTTGGGGCTGGCTTCCTGAGATCTACAGTAACTGATGGATACATCTTCCTCAGAGACGAGTGGAGGTTGTGCTTGAAAGCTGTCGACTTGTTGATCATGTCCTACTCTGGCTGAATCTTTAGCTTTTGTGTGCCCAAACCTCATTGCCTTTGAACTATAGAGATCTTCAGACAGAGCAGAGAAACCTAGGCGTAGAAAAACAGCAGCAGGTTTTAAAAGTGTCTAAAGCAAGCTGTCATTATATAGCATTGGAGTAATAATGAGTTACATTTTGTTCCCTGGATGTTTTAAATTCAGGGATAAACACCACCTGCTGTTCTCTGTGAACTTGGTTATAAATAACTTTAATGAGATTTTATATTCATATATGTAATTTTATTATCGAATTTTGATTAGTTATTTACATTACAAGCGCACAGCAACAAATTCAGGCTATTATCACTCACAAACAAAATGGTTATTCCTACCTGCACTCAATTAAAAAACTAAATTATTCATTAAAATACTGGGTCATAACAAAAATACTGTAAGTCTATTCAAATCCATTTTGAAGTAAAAATAAATCAAAATATTAGTTTTACAAGCAACTCACCATCCATTCATTTTGGGTCTGTATTTCAGTCAGACACAATCATATCCCATTAACATGATATTATTGACAATGCAACCAAAAAATACTCTTCATAAAAATAAGAGAAAACAATGCATACCTATCTACTTGCACTCTGTGAAAGACCAGTTTGGTTTTTTTAAGGCAATTTGTTATCATACAGGTGCTTATATACAGGTGCTTTTATAACTGCAGCATATGTTTACCTTCACTGTGGTCCAGCGCTATGGTCTGTTCAATTTCTGCGTAAGTGCGAGAGAGATGTTCTCTGCTGGGTGAGGACTGTGTGGTTTCCAGCAAGTTGATAATATCCATGCGATTAATTTTGGTAAGTGTCTGCAGTAACCTTTCATCTTGAAATCAAAGGCAGAAAAAAGTAAATGGGGAAACAGCTTCGCAGAAATCATGGCTTTACACTACACCTGTTAAGGAACTGAAGAAATCTTCAGGTTGGGAAAATTGTAGATTAATTTATGGCAATGTGTAACAGGAGGTAAACTAATAATGTAGAATCCAGCGCTAACCAGAAATCTATCACAATGATCCAAGCAAATTTGAAGTTATCCCAGGCACGTTAGAGGAGGCTTGTCATGGGTCAGAGACACATTTTCAGATCTAACTTGGAATTGCAACTTGAAGTTGATATTAACATCTTCTGTTATGAAAGCAAATTAGATTCCTTTATTTCATTTTTGTCTTTTTAATCCACTTAACATGCATTAGTGTTAACATCACACATGATATTGCTTTTTAAACATTTTCTATCTCAAAAGGTGAAATAGGTTCATCAACAAAAAAAATGCTTTAATGGATGCATCTTGTGATGTGCTCTCTGCACCAATATTAATTCAATTTATTGAGTTTATTGCTGACCAAAACAATTCTCTTGCAGACCCCTCTGAAGACTATTTCTCCGGTATATTGGCGCTTCCTGGTATCTGCCTTTTCACAACCTTGACCCTGTGATCTTTGAATACAAGATTTATGTTTAACTGGTAATGACTGTTTAATCATCATGACTGTTCTTGCAGGCAAACATGGCAACCAATTTGTAATTAGGTCCAACAAGCAGTCAGTGGTAAACTATTAATCTGGAGGATTACTGAACAGTGAGCAGCTATTTCCTCTGGCAAGAGAATTGAAGACTATAGGCCATAGTCTGAAACTTGAGGCTAAACGGCTTTAAGGCAGCAGGTCGTGGGAGTGTGGAATTGAAAAATTTAAAAGGCAAATAGATAAATACGAGATAGACAGGGATTGCAAGGTATATGGAGAGAGGGCGGGGAGGTGGAATTGAGTTGCACATCTGCCGTGATCCGGGGAAATAGTGGGAAAGGCTTGATGGGCTGAATGGCCTACTTCGTTTCCTATGTTGTCCAGGACACCACAAAAAAACTCCTTCCTCTTCAAATAATGAATGGGATCACAAACATTATCACTAACAAACCTTATCCTGACACGACATAGAGATGAAATTAAAAACTAGTCCATCACAGTACAGTGTACACATTGTTTAAACTTATTATTTTTCATATTTGTTCCAGTGAAGATGGTTCCAACGAAGCACAGCTTACCTGAAGCATACTTGCCATCTCTTTCCATCCAATATTTTAGTAGTGCATGACTCTGGTCCACTAAAGAATTGGGGTTTTCAATTCTGATCTGATGGATCTGTTCCTCAGTGAAATCCAGTTCCCTGGCCAGCTCTGAAAACAACAGGAATATATTTGCAAACACTATTTACAGATCCCATTTTGTTTTCCTTTCCCTGAGCTTCATCAAGACTATTTTAATAAAATGTGGCAAGTTGTTTGAATGAAAGCTTACCGGGAATGACAATCTACCTAGTGTAATGGATCATTATAAAACCTTACTCTTCAGCACTAGATCATCATTAAACCTCAGAGGCCTGAAATAAATAAATCTTGCATTTGATATCATGTCATCAAAACACCTCAAAATCCTTCCCAGTGTCTACTTTAAATGTAGTGACTGTGTCTTTTATATGATGAACATGGCAGCTAATTGGCAAACAGCAACTTCCCACGACCAGCCATGAAATGAATGATCAATTCAATCTGGGGGAATGTTGGCCATTCACTTCATAGCTATTTGTGAGACATTGCTGGTGCGTAAATTCATTGCCACGTTCGCTCTCAAAAATACACAGTAACTACACTTTACAACAAAGCCTATGAAGCGCATTGAGATACCCCCCTGTTGTGAATGGTGCTTTATCAATGCAAGGAATATTTCCATTTATTTCTTAAAAGTAAAAGAACTGGCGATGAGATGTGGCAGTGTTTAGTGACGTCAGTGTGAAGTTTGTGTGGGAGAAGTGGAAAGAGTAGGAAGTGTGCCTGAATAATGAAATCTATTCAGTGGTCTCTCACAGGAAGACACTTTACAACAACAACATCTTGCAATTACATAGCGCCCTCCATGCAGGATAGCGCCTAGGAGTGCTTAACAGTGGTGGAGCCTGACTCGGAGCCGGGGGGAGGGGGAGGTGGCCGTAAGCACGGTCGAATAGGAAAGTTTTCAGGTGGGACTTGAAAGAGGGGAGAAGGGGGACAAGGCGGAGGGATTGAGGGAAAGTGTTCCAGAGTTTTGTGGCGTAGTGGCTGAATACGTGACTTCTGATGGTGGAGCAGAGGGTGCGAGGGACGAGCAAGAGGCGGTGCCAGTTGAGTGGAGGCGCCGGGTAGTAGATTGGGGAGTAAGAAGGTCGGAGAGGTAGGGAGGTGCAAGAGAGTGAACACAAGTGTGAGGATCTTGAATTCGATCCGTTCAGTAGACATGGAAATGTAGTTGTTGTGCTCTATATTTACGGTTGTGGAAAACACAGCAATGGATTTCAATGCTTTGGAGTGACATCATAAGATCAACTAAAGTGTGATTTTGTTTTATAGCAAGGGGAGAGGGATGGTTGGATATTTCCTATCGTTTTTTTTCTAGCTGGCAAAACTAGGCAAGTTCACAGTATTCCCAGGTATTATTATGGTTAGCTCAGCAGTAACATTTTGAAGCTGTGTGGATACCAACTTAAAATATTAAAAAAAACTTATGTTTTGTAATATGTACAATAATAGTCACAGACTGTTTCTGTTTTCCAATAGCAGTCACTTATTTTTATACATGTTTCCATTGCTGACTGAAGTCTGGTCAACAAAGGTTGAATTATGCCATTTAACCAGGTACTGACTTAAAAGAATTGATGACAATGATTAATGAATTAATTAATTAATTGATGAATCATGGCTGAATTAGTCAGGCGGGTCAATTGTGCCACATCATTGCAAGTTTAGCAAGAAATTATTTGCAATTAAGTTACTGAGAACTGTTCTGACCGGAAGGAATTGTATAGGTTAAATGTACCCTGAAATTATTCTTTAGCTAACGCTTAGAACAGGTTTTAATTGAATAAAAATGTGCTGAAAAGGCGATTACTGTGGGAGCATCGATAAGGCAGCATTATAGTTGATACAGTGCACATCTGGTGCTTCAGCACCTTAACTAGATTTTAGAAAAATATACTGTTCTATATATAAATCTTATCAACTTGTCTATGGTTCACAATCAAGTACAACTGGAGTTCACAAAAACCTAGACAAATGTTAGAATGGTAGGTAAAGTACACAGTGTTTTAAACCTGGATTTGTGTTAAATCTACACCAGATAAACAGCCACTAGATGGCAATGCTCATCTCAGAGAAATGAAAGATTCCTCTTGAAACCTGGACCGCAGTCATCTCTGTAATTCCCGATGTGACTGTGAGTGTAATCGTAAACTTCAGCCCGAGAGTGTTTTTTAAGTTACCTGGTTAAGTCATCTTGTTTGTTTAATACCTCTTTCCCAGTGTTAATCTGTCGGGGAGGGGCAAACATTACACTCTGTGGCCGAAAATGGACATTTTAGCAAATGAGCAGTTTATTCCCCAAGTCTCTCAATTGCTAGCTAAAGTATTACATTTTGGGCTGGAAATCATTTCTCATCCCCAGATGAATACTGTGTGAAAATGGCAAATTATTTGGAAAACCTTAAACGCAAATAGTGCTAACGATAGATGACATCTGGACCCATGAGAGATTAAGCCTTGAAAATAGAAAAAATAAGACATCAGATTGACTTTCATAAAGCGTTCAGTTCATTAAAATATACTAAATGTGTTTAATTTCAAAACAAATTTGTGCAAATTATTTTTTTAAAAAAATCTAGTAAATGTGTGGTGATGTGACTGTTCGCTAAAGATAGCAATTCTTTCACTAAGTCTTTGATAATATAATTTCCAAGTTAAAAACATGAGGGAAAGATATTGCTTGTGCTAATGATCAGCGTAATTATGGATCTTACTGCAACATTGCAACAGTACTTTACATTTATTTGGCTCCCTCACTTTGGGAGGATGTCACAAAGTGCTTCACACAGCTGACTGGGAGCCCGTGCTAGGGGAGTTGATGGGAGGGAAAGGTGGCTGAAAGCACAGTTGAAAGATAGGTCTTCAGGTGGGTATTAAAGATGGAGAGGAGTGAGGCGGAGGGACACCGGGAAGCGTTTCTGATTATTGGCCAGGACATTCCAAGAAACTCCCTTCATGACATTGGATTTTAGGAAAATATGTCACCAATGGTGATGTTGGGATGAACTGAGGCAATTAAATGAGTTAGCCCTTCGACATGTGAATGGATGCATTGATATGGCACCGTTTCAAGCCCTGAATTCATTGCATGCTTACATTGCCCTGACTGAAAATTAGGCTTTGCACTGAAGGGAGGGAGGGGGAACCAGCCAAAGGCAGTCACATGTACCTCTTATTTGCCACTTATAGGGTGACACAGAAAAAGGCATGAGACGCGATAGCCTGGTTGCCCTCTAAGCTCAAGAATTGGAAGAACCAAAGACAGGGAAGAGAATGAAACAAATAAAGTGAAACAGAGTCATCTGTTCTCTCGCCAGTAAAGTTTGAAACAAAGAGAATGTCTATAAAACCAATATTTAGTGGTAGATTTCCTGAATTTTTCATTCCAGAAGGCAATGTGAAGCATGCTCATTAGTTTGTTAGGTGTTACCTGTCCAGCTGAATCCAAGGTGGTCGGCGATAAGGTACAGTCTCTGCTCAGCTCGTTCAGAATCCTCCTGAGCATCTACAGCTTAAATTAAGAGAGAATAGCAACAACCGTCTATAACAGTTACAGCAAAACAATGTACTCAGTATCCAAACTTGGAAGACAGTCTACCTATTTGTGTTACTAACAATGTCTAATATCAAACATGTCCTTATTTCCTCTCCTTTAAATACAGTTGATCAGCTGAATTACACTGACAAGCCAGTTTGGAGTGAAAGAAGCTGACTCCTGCCTGAAATGTTTTCATCAAAAAAGGCTACTTTTTTCCCATTTGTTTCTGTCATTGCTTTGCACTATTCAATGTGTGATCATTTGCTTTATAAAACAGAAAGGTAATGGAATGGAATCCTTACCTGCTCTTCAATGTTCTTCGCAGTTGATTTTCAAATCATTTATGAAGATAGTGTTAGCGCAGTACACCCTCAACAACTGACAGCATTTTAGTGTTAGGTTAAATGACATTCCTATACAGATCAAGGTTGATGCCAAGGTAAATATATTATTGTGATGACAAAATTAGTGAGGATTAAGATCGTCCAACAGTCCTTCCCAATATTCTTGATCCTAAAGTTGAATGTGTTTTTATAGTAATTTGATGTTAGCAGCAAGTAACAGAAAGAGATCCTAAGTCCATAGAAATTAAGGCATAGGAATAGGCCATTCAGGCCATCAAATACTGTATAAAGTGATGCTCACTCAACCACTGGAGCTAACTGCCCTGGTTACATTTTCTTTCCCTGTAAAGGAAATTTATACCATGCCGAAAATGACTAACCTGCTTGTGTACATAATCCACTCGTCTATATTATAGATTTCATCAAACTATCAATTTAGGCATGAAAACCATATCTGATAAATATAGACCCATTAGCCTGACCTCAAAAAATGGAAAACAATGCAGTCAATTATTAGAAAAAAAGGAAGATTTCTTGTACAAAATGAATCTAATAAATTACAGTGAATATGATTCAGAAGGGGTAGATCTTGTCTGGTCAATCTCATAGACCTTTTTGAGGAGATGACAGCCTAATTTGATTGTGAGAGCCCATATGATGCAGTGTATCTGGACTTCCAAAAGAAGTAGATAAGGTACCACATGAAAGACTCCTTCACAAACTAAGATCACTGGGTTTCAAAAGCAAGACATAGCCAAGGATTCAAAACTGGTTGAAGAGAAATAAACAGAAGATCTTTTTAGGAGAGCTGGGACAAAATGGAGGAATGTATTAAGTGAGGTGCCTCAGGGGTTTGTAATGGAACCCTCCTATTCCTTGTAAACATGTTGACCTGGATTCACAGATCCAGTGTAAGGTTTGCAGATCATACCAAACTGGGGGGAAACTGGGAATCAGGAGGCAATAAAGGTCTTACAAAGAGAGCTTAATGGAGTATGCACGTGGGCTGATGACTGGTAAATCAACAACAACGACTTGCATTTAAATAGCTCCCTTCATGCGGATAGTGTCTTGGAGCAGTGTCACTGAGCTGTGAAGGGAGGGGAGGTGACGGAAGTATGGTTGAAGAACAAAGTCTTCAGGTGTGATTTGAAGATGGGCAAAGAGGGGACAAGACAGAGGGATTAAGGCAAGGAGTTCCAGAGGTTCGGGGCACAGTAAAGTTCAATACAGTTAAATGCGAGGTGCTACAAATAAGAAATAAGAATAGGAAACGCAAACACGCCATGTATGGGATAGAACTTTCCAAGGGGAAAGCTGAAAGCGTTCTAGGGTGTAGTTGATTCATGTCAAAAAAGCGTGTGGCAACAATAAACAACACAACAGAACTCTGGCTATATTGCAAAAGCAGTGGAGTTCCGATTCCCAGGGTCATTTTCAAGCTACAAAGTATTTTGGTCAGGCTGGACCTGGAATACTTCATAGAGTTCTGGTGATCGCGACACAAGAAGACTACCCATGCACCAGAGGCAGTACAAAGAGGAGCAACAACAGTCACCCCCAGTGTTTGAAGAATGATCTACGAGTAATGATCAGACAAGCTGGGCTTGAAAGGAGACATCTCAGAGGGGACTTTTATAGAGGTGCAGAAGATTTTAAATGGGTTTGAGAAAGTAAACTTAGAACAATACTTCCAGATGTAGAGGGTAATAAGCACTGCAACAAGTTTTCCAGGAACGGTGGTTGAGGCCAGGACACTGGACTAGTGTTCCATTTAGTCCCTTTTTATTTTTAAAATTCTACTTGTGCATGCATGCACACTCATGCTGTGTATACACGCATAGAATCCATAGGCATGCACAAGAAGACATAAAAAAATAAATGGAGATATAGCACTATAAACAGCACTCAGTCTACCTGCCCAGAATTGAGTATGCAGCATAGGGGCCTCACCATAAACATAGTGTTAGACAAAGATGTTCACAGTAACAAATGCTGTAAAGCTGGATCCATTCACATGTTCAAGATGGAAGTAGATAAATATTTGTTCGGTCAGAGTATCAAGGGATATGGGGCAAGGGCAGGTAACTGGACTTGAGGTATAGATCAGCCATGATCTTATAGAATTGTGAAACAGGCTTGAGGGGCTGAATAGCCTACTCCTGTTTCTATGTATTTTATGTATTCCCAGCAGATTTAGAGCACAATTTAAACTTAGATCAGCCCTACTTTACTGTGAATCACATGTATTTCACACTATTTCTCGTGTGAAATAGATTCAGATACCAAAGCTATCATTATAATCAGTACTGTTAGTCCAGAATGGCTGGAGACAGTAACAGAAAATCTCAAATCAGCAAATCAGGTCATATTACACAGCCTAAAAACATTTAAATTAATATCACTCATTATTAGGTTTTGTTTTAAGGGACTTTTTTTTAAGAAAGGAAAGATTGATCAGGCATTATTTTATCTCCTTAGATAGTGAATCATATAACAATAACATATAAAGTAAGGTTTATGAGGCTTCCAGTATTGATTTCCCTCGGATTGATCTTGTAAAGTGTACACTCCAAATCCCCTAAATGCACATTTGTGATGGTCTTACAACTTTAGAGAAAGAAACTATACTAAACATCTTGTATAGGCCAGTGAAACTACCAAAAAACCTCAACTGCTAGAGATGGAGAAACGTATCTGGAAAACTTGGTTGGTTGAAGAGATGCAATAGAAATGTGTTTACTCCCACTCCAGACTGGTCATATCAGTGTAATTAGAGCTTTGGTCCCTGCAGTTTATCAACAAGACTGGCTTTGAAGTGTCAGGATTTTTGAGTTTCAATTTTCCCAGTCTAGCCAATTTTCATAAATTGTATTAAATTATATGAAATAAAGTAAATGTATTGAAACTAGAGGTTTCCAAATGTACTTTTTTTCTTTGTTTTTAAAATAATAAATTGCTCTTAACCCTGTTTTTCAGACAAGAAATTGAAACATTCCTGTTGATACAGCTGGACATACGAGAGCAGATTATTATAAAACAAATAGCATTTTAAGTAATTCTCACATTTTACAATTTTGTATAAACATAGAATTTTAGATTTGACAACTTCTCGTCAACAGTTTTGCTGGTTGATTGACTTGTTCCCTGCAGAAACGGGAGAAATCAAAACTCAAAAATGTGCAAGGTTCCCTATGAAATATATGTGCTCCCTGATTATAGAGTTAATGTTTCTTTGCTACCATTATCATTTTGATTGTCCTTTTTTGCCTTTCCAGCTTGCCAATCTTGAGATCGGTCCAGCAGCACATCACAAAACATGAAAATCACAATGCCACAGCACAGACACTCACAAGACCACATGATCGCAAAAGCATTAACTCAATGAACTGCAAAACTAACTACAAGTTCTGATGTGCTAGGCCACAGAGAACTCCAGTAGATCGGCTGGTACCTTCAAAGTGATCATGGCCACTTTCTTCAGGAAATCTTTCAATTTGAGTCTCAACAGACTCATCCCAGATAGGTCTCATGTCAAATAAGTCTTCAGGAAGAGGTTGCTGTATTTCAGTGGGTTGCTCATTTTCAATAACAGAGCTATCTAAAGTGCTACTTTCATCATCTGATAGTGCTTCATGATCTTGCTCTTCCTGTGTCAAACGTTCAACCAATTTCGAGGCCTCATCACTTATCTCTTCAAAAAATTCAATGGAATGCTTATAGAGTTCAAAAAATTTATCTTTATTGCCTTTGGCAGAAGTAGATGTTGCTTGTGAACTTTGGCTAGTTTTGGTCTTGACTGGAAGTCTTGATTGAAATGATTTTGGCTTTGTACTTTCTGGTGTTTCTGATCCAGCGGGAGTACGGTCTGGCTTCTCCTTTACCTCTGGTTCTGTGTCACAGCTCTTCCCTTTAACAGAAAGCTTGGATTTCATCTCTGCAGAAGCAACAGTGTCAGATTCAGACTTGCTCCTGGGCTCCAGCCGTACTGGAAGTCTAGACTTGACCGACTCCACAATCTTTTTTGTTTCAAGTTCTGTAGACGTAAAAGAGTGGTAGTCTACTCTGTGTGCACCGGCCTTAACAGGAATTCTGGATTTTGATTTGATGGTATCGTCCGCTGGTCCTTCCTGTGGACTTGCTGGAGATAGGCGAGAAGGTGATAGAGCCCTGTCCCTTGGAGTCGGTTGTGCTCGAGGTACTGCTGTTACAATAGCAGTATGTCTGACAGGAAGCTTCGATCTAGACTCTGTGATGGGAACTTGTTGGGCAATAGCAGGAGGAATTTCAATCACCGATCGTTGTTCTTCAGGAGACGAGTCTGATGAATCATCATCACTTTTTGCAGCTTGCTCTGAATAAACTGTCCTGGTGACTATAGAAAAGTCTAACTGGACTTGAGTCATAGATGACTCAAGGGAGGTAGGAGATTCCACATCACCATCATAAGTGAAGGGCTTCACTTCAGCCACTTCAGGTAGAGCAGAATCTTTCCTTAAGGACTTGGCTGATGCAGAGATCCCCATTTTGATTGGAATTCGTGACTTTTGTTCCGTTTTTGTGGCTATTTGTTCATCTGTGGCATTTGACCCAATGAAAGGCTCACCACTTGAGGCACCCGGAAGTGATACATCTGGTAACGAGTACTGATAATGCTCAGATTCAGTCTGAGCGGTGGGAACAAGCATGGCTTCAGGCTCAGCAAACGTCATCTCATCCTCAGCCCCTTCCATTTGGGATGCGTACGGAAAAGAGTCATCAGCCTGGTTTTCTCCAATTTGGAAAAAATGGTAGTTTTCATCTGTGTAGTTCCTTTTGCTCATGTCAATCGCACCACTTCGGGTCATTTCAAATAATTTCCCTTCCTGAAACAAGAAAGGATTTTGTTCATTGGTGGGTGTACCATCCTCAGTGGGGGTTCTTACAGGTGTAATATCCGGAGTTGTTCCCTGGGACCGTTTATCATTCATTGGACCAAAGATTTTCTGCTCTTCCTCTTTAAGACGGGCTGCAAATGCTTCATCGTCCTCTCTGATAGTGCTCCATGTGTCTACATCGGGTTCAGTCTTAGTTATTATTATTTTGCTAAGCTGCTCTTCAGCTTGTTCTTCTGAGGGCATGTCTCCTAACGTAGGGTCACTTTGGCTCAGCTGAATTTCCTTCTCTGCTATTACCTGAAGTCCTTGACGTTTGCTTTCCAGCCACAACGCAGCTTTCTCTTCTGCTGTTTGCTCAAAGTGCGGAGCATCTTCCTCGACTAGACTCGCTTCCGCTTCCACCTCTGGAGCAAAAGGTGACATTTCTGAAGATTCAGTGTCTTTGGTGGAGTCACCAGTGGCTGTAAAAGAGCAGACTGCAGCAGCATAATCCAATGAACTATCAGTTTCATTACCTCCAAGAGTAACAACATTGGGCACTGATGGACAGGACTGTGAGTCAGCTAGTATATTGCCTTCCGAATCCAGGCTTCTGCATTCTTCATTTGGGATCACATCATCTCTGTCATCGGATATTTCTTCGCTTGTAATTTCTTTTGACTCCTTTTCATCATCTATAATCTTAAATGTGTATTTTTTGTTAACTATCGGATGAAATTCAGGATCTTCAGGGCTAGAACTACCATCAGCTCCTGGTGGGACTGGAGAAGGCGGTTCTACCCGAATAACTGGATCCATAAGAAGCCCAGATTCAGCCTCTCTGCTTAGCTGAGTCAGTTCTGGTTCACTTTCTGAAGATGAGGAACTCTTTCTGCATTCAGTATGAGATCTGAATATTACCTCTGCTTCATCAGGATAAGTGAGAGAAGAGGGAATGGGCATTTCAGATGGTTTGGTTTCCTTTTTGAATTCACGCTTTATTCTCGCTTCCTGTTCCAAAACATCAAATGTTTTAATTTTAGCTGCCATTTTAAACATTTCCTCTTCGGGTGTGAATCTCTTCTTTGAATCACTCTCTGTGAAATCATCGTCAATTTCTTCTTGGATCTCCGGAATGGCAATTGGCTTTTCAGCAGCTGATAACACATGCACATCAGGGCTTTGGGGGGTAACTTCATAACTGACCTCCTCGGAGCTGGGTGTTTCAGGTGAAAGGGGGCTTTTCCCTGAACTTTCCATCTGTGATATTTGATCCAAGCTATCTTCCTCAGTACTTTCTTCTGGAGACATAAGCTTCCTTGGTTCTCTACTTGGAGGTCCATCTCCCCTCATGTCTCTGAAAACTCTACTCCTTACCGGTATAGCATCCAAAGTAATGTCCATTCTGCCACTAGGTTTTTCGGGGAGCATTGCAGGAGCTGACGTCTCTTTCTGTTGTGCCATGAAAATAGCTGCACTTAGCTTGCTTTCTACAGGACTACTTTCAAGAGAGTCTGGGCATGGCGATTCTTTAATGGGGCTTGGTTCAAGTGAATCTGGGGATTTGTGTGAAAATGTATCACCATCATCTTGCATGGGACTAGCCTCAAGGGAATCTTTATGACTGATGGCCAGAGATTCGTCTCCCATTGGACTTAGACTGTCAGTATCAATAGACACTCCAGTAAGGGAAAGTTCCATTCCGTGATTTCTTGCTGTGTATTCTGGTACAACTGGAGGTTTAACCGATGAAACCTTTTCTTGATCGTTTTCTTCTTTCAACTCTAGAGAGGTCTGATCATTTGACATTTTTTCAGCACCAGGTTCTCTCATTATTCCTCTTGGCATAGGAACAGGGAATTTTGAGTCTTTGTCTTTGGATTTGCTGTCCGGTGAAATGTCATGACCATCAAGCAGTTCTGCTTCTTGTTGCATAACGGTGTCTGAAGGCGTATGGGTACCTTCACCACTGATGTTATCTACATGTAAACCACTGTCTGTTTTAAGGACAGAGACTGATTCACTCATGGTCTGTTCATCCACATCATCTTGAGTCGTTTCCATTGACTGTAATTCATCATATACTACGCAGCCAGAATCCGCAGTAAGGTCATTATCGGTGGAGTCAAAGGACTCTTTTGTTGCTAATGGTTCAGTTGAGCCAACATTGTGAGTTTCTGATAATACGTCTGCTTCCTCCTGAGATCCTATGGCAGTCACTGCAAACTTATCATTTATGCCAGATTTAATTTTATTGGAATGAACATCTTTTTTTATACCTGCAGAATTGTCAATTGGTGGTGTAGAAGATTCATTACTCTGGATTGGTTGATCCTCACTGTCTATTTTGGCAACATTTGCAGTATTGTTTTTGTCCAGTGCTGGCTCTTCAGTTTTCTTCGGCGAAAGGGACAAATCTTCTGGGCTTGTTTCTGGAGTCTCAGCAAGACCTTCATGTTTATAACTCTCCTCCGAGCTGATCTGAGGTGTCCCATCACCTAAGCTAAAACTGGGAGAGTCGGCGATGCCTTCGTGTTTTAAACTTTCTGAGCTGTCATCAAGAGCACCATTTGACAAACCTATGTCTGACAGAAATGCATCCTTCACATATTCTTGTGGGAAACTAATGTTTAGACCGTGCTGAATTGGACTTGTCGCAACTTGCTCCAAGTAAACTTCTGCTTCTTGAGTATCTGACGTTTTCTTAAACTCTTGATATTTGTCATTATCTTCCAACTCCTCCTTTATGACATCGCTGAAATCGGTGGATGTCTTTCTGTCCGGACTGATCTGTAGATCACTATCATGATGGTCATCACTCGTCACAAAGATTTTGTTTTGCCTCTCAAGATCTTCAGTAAAGACTAATTCGTAATTATCCACTTCAGAACACACATCATGTTTGTCAACAGATATTATGATGGCTTGTGTATCTTTGGTTGAAGGTATTCCAATTGTTTCTTGAGATTGAACTGAACAGGTCATTTCTACATTTGTTTCCTCCACATCAAGTGGAATTTGGGTAATCTCAATTTTTCCACTGTGGTCTCTATGCATCTCTGACTGATGTACTTCGGATGAAAGTTCTACCACATCTGCTTGAGCTCCTTCAGCAACTTTCTCCGTGGACAAAAGCTTTCCTTTACCTTCATCGTTAGACACTTTAGGCTTATTTAATTCCTCCAAATCTTGGCTCTCTGCTTGTGAAGTAACAGATGAGTGCTGAAAGAGTCGATTCATTTTCTTGGATGGATCTTGTCCTGACTGAAAAGCTTTCATGAGTTCACGCACTGACATAGTCTCTTCAAGTCTTTCTGTCACAGTGGAGGGAACAGGGGGTTCTTCTTTGTGTGGTGCCCGTTTACTCGTTGTTGTAGAAATCTCTTCTTTTCCAGGAACTTTTACTTGCTTGCGCTGGCCTTCCTCTGCTTCTACACGTTTCTGAAGAGCCTTTACCTTCTCTTTTATGGAACCAATGGGAGTTTCTTCCACTAGAGGCGAGGTAGCATCTGAAATAGGTGGAGGTACTAACGTGGTTTCTTTCAATGACTCACTGACATCAGATCTAATCGTAACTTCATGCTGCATTTTTCTAACCTCTGTCCAAGTTTCAGTAGCTGAGCCTTTAAGTGCAGGATCTGTAAAAGATATTACCATGCTTCCTTCCGTGAATCTCCGAAGTACTGGTTTAGTTTTGCTGGGTTCTGATCTAGTTTGGTCTTTTGTGTCCAATTCTTTCTTCGCCACTGAGCCTACAAACTCTGAGATAACCTTGTAAGTTCCACTGTTAATATCCTTGGTAACAATAACAGCATCAAACGTTTCTTGAACAATATCTGCTTGGCAAACAGTTGCAGGTGCATTGTTTTCATGCTGTGTTAGATACATCCCTAGGTCCTCAGACAAATAATTCAACATTCCACTCATGTCTTTCTCTATCTTTACTGTCTTTGCTAGAGCTCCCCTATCAACTTTGCACTCTACAAATGGAGGTTCAAAGACGTCTGCTGGCACATTTTTCTTAACTTCTTCGATTTCTTCATCGCTGAGAATAACCCAGTCTTCACATGGTTCTTCACATCTTGCACCATCATCGACTGCTTTCCTAGATTTTTCACCTTCGTACCTTCCGCTTCTTAAGATTTCACTCACTTTTTCCAAATCTTCCTTCACTTTTTCTACAATTTCAAATGGCTCTCCTGGTTCGTCTTCAGTTTGCTTTCCTACCTCCTTTACCTCTATGGGGCTTCCTTTACCTGTTGCTGTCGAGTCTGTTTTTAAGAGCTTAGTCACCTTGATCAAATCTTGTTTCATGTCAGACACATCTGAAAGCAAATCTGGGCTTGCTAGTACAGGGATATCATGAACCAGATGAGATTTTATTGCTGCAGAAATCTCAATGGATTCGGTCCCCTCTTCTTCATCTTCATTTTTAATAAAAACATTTAAACAAAAAAATGGGATTCAAAAAACAGAGATTGGAAAATGTAATCAGGGATGACACAATACAGAGTCTTTAGCTGAAATGGTGGGTCAAAAATAAAACATGGATTTGGATGGTAGGTCGGGTCCACATGGTCTGAGGATGGATACAATTGCAAAGCGAAGCCAACTCATAAACAGGAAAAGAAACAGGCAGGAAATAACTTGCTTTATTTTCACCAGAACACATCCACACCACGGACAACACCAAAGCAATAAACAAACCGAATTAACCAGGACACCAACAGATCAATAAACAGAAATAAATAAGAGCAGTGGGTTTACACAGAGATAGGCATCTCAAGATTGTTCAGATGTAACAGATTCATGTCTAAAGAAAAAGATCAGAAACGACTGAAAGCTGATATCCTCTTAAAGAAAGCCAGTACTAGCAAACTGTCAGAACAACATTTGTAGCTCTCTTTATTTCTATAGAATTGTAAGTAAAAGCTTATATTATTTTTAGGAGCTGGAGCTAAGAAAACCCTACAATGACATGTCGTATTATCTGAACCAGCTGCAAACCGGCATTTCAACAAGAAGAATCTCAAACCTAAATGCACAGAGTAAAGAAAAAGCTATTTAAGGAAAGTAAGATTCTTTCCTTGGAACATCCTAGTTGTTCTGACAACTAAAAAAGCTAACATTATTGCAAATAAATTAATCAAAATGGATCAACGAAAAAAGATCTACAGAGAAGAGTTCAAAATGTAACCAATAAGTGAATTCAGAGGAAAATAATGCGGTGGATATAGCAAAACCAAAAATTTTTGCAACACTCACACAAACACACATAACACTTAAGCAAAGTTATTTCCATGCAAAACTAAAGTGTTGGCAGCACTGGACATGCAGCCTGATGTAAACGCTGGAGAATAGACACTTAACATTGTGTGGCGTTGCAATGAAGTACAGTGGTTAGTTTGACACAGGACATTTAAAAGTGAATTCACAGCATTCAATAAAATTGTATTCCTATCAGAATTTGAAAGAACACTTTAAAAATAAAACAGACTTTGTTATTGAAATAAATAAAACCTGAAAATCTGAAGGACTGATGACTTTAAAGGGATCTGTGGGTATTTTTTTTGTGAAGTAAGTTGTGATTATAAACAACTATCATTTTTATGAAAAGTTGATGAACTTTATCCAAAATGAAATTAGCTATCTGGTATCAAAATCCTTGACTACTTTTTAATTCTATTAATATTGTTGTTATTAGATAATATATTGCGAAACATTGCTAAATGTACATTTCCCTAAAATAACTAGCTTTATACATCTATATGCCAATTTTGAGTAGACATATAAAAGGAACTTAAAACAAATTATGTGTGAAAAATGTGACTTTTGAAAGCTTTTATTTTATATCCAGAGTATCAATGCAGTTTAGGGCAAGCAAGACATTCCTCGTGATAATACTCAGTATATGAGGATCATATAGAGAATAGCAGAGTAATACTAATCTTAAAAATGATTGGCCACTGATTGAATCCTGTGTTAATTTTACAATAAACATTATTTTGAATATTCTCCATATCAGGATCTTCACAAAAATACCTGGATGAGAAAATCCAATTTTATTGAAATAATTTGCTGCAAATCCAATCTACTGACTCTGTTATTGACTTCTCTGCAAATTCATTACATCCTTACATATTGACATCATGTCAACAGAATTATTTTGCTTGCAAACTACAGCTGATGATAGGGTCTTTAACAGACTCAAGGTGCATTCAGTGGCTAGACAAGCGATTATCAATACTAATGATAATATGAACACTAATTGAGTTTCAGGAATATTAATAGGTTAATTATCTGAAAGGACAAAACTGAGCTGGTCGCTAAAGACTGTAAAATAATTCTCATAATTCTTACATTTGGTGCAACACCATCCATGGTGGGTGGGCTTCATTAGATTTACAGTGCAGTGACTGTGTCATTTGTGGATGAAATCAGACTAGTCATTGATAAATTCTGAAACAGAAACTACCACAGCTAATGAACTGTTTTCAATCAAAATAGAGGTAATGTGTTCTGTTAAAACTCCCAATGCTTTGGTAGGATCAACTGTACTTCTTAAATAGTATTCACATCTGAACACTTTTTGGACTGTTTTATAGATATATAGAAATGCCTAAATAATGGGATATTCCACCAAATGCTCCTGTCCTATTATCATTTGACTTTTACAATTATGCGCAAATGTGCGTTAGTGTTTTTAAATGTAAAAGAGACCAAACTGTACTTCACCACAGCAGTTGCCATTGTGACGATTAAACATTCATTTGAACAAAATGGAGGTAAATGTCAAGTGAGACATGGGAGCAGCCATGTCTCCTACTCATCAAAGAGCAAAAAAGTTAACAAGACAAACATGAAGAACTGAAAGGATTTCATAATGAGTGCAACAGGCACAGCAGGACTATAAGGGATGTCAAAGGAAAATGAATACTTAGATGATATAATTTAATTCAGTATTAATGTTCTATATAAATACTGTACCGAACTATTATGTGGTTATAGATTTAACAGTTGTTAATTTGAATTACTGTTACTTCTAAAAGCATTAGTAACAAATTGTTAAATTGTTTTAAAACTTTCACACTCTTATGCTGATCTCCATTAGTAGTTTTTTTAATATAAGGATAGAAAAGGTTCTTACATTTTTCTTGCATTCCGGTCGTCTGTGAAACAACAGATGCAAAATTAGTGTGGAAAACATTACATCATTTTGAGCTGGTTAAAATATTTCTAAAACAGAAGTCGCTGGGAACACTCAGCAGGTCAGGCAGCATTTATGGAGAAAGGAAAGTGAGTCAACGTTTCGGGTCCACGACCCTTCAGTTCTGATGAAGGGTCGGGGACTCGAAACGTTGACTCACTTTCCTTTCTCCATAGATGCTGCCTGACCTGCTGAGTGTTCCCAACGCCTTGTGTTTTTGTTTTCAGATTTCCAGCATCTGCAGTATTTTGCATTCTGTTTTTAAAAAAACATTTCTAAACTTGGGTCCTATGGTTGGGGCCAACAATGGTGCGAAGTGAGTATATGCTCCTATCCACTCTCCCCTTGCCACTGAGGTCCTAATCTCAGTGAGTTTGTTATGCCTGGAAAATTCTTAACATATCTTAATTTGGAGGCAGGCTTTCCACTGAAGGTATTCCAAAATTCGGCACCATTCGTACCTCAAATGATTCCAGGAGGGTGAAATAATTGGATAGTCATTCCTGAATCTCTTAGCCCGCTCAAGCTACTTTCCTTGGCAGAGTCCCACCTGCTTGTCCTCCCAGCCTCTCAGTGATGATGAACACAGGCTTCAGTCAACAATAGTAATAATCCTTGCAATTGATGTAGCGCCTTAATACATCTTCAAGATGTCTCAAAGCGCTTCACAGAATATACTGTGACGTCAATCGACTGTATGTTTTGTGGGTGAAACGTGGCAGCCAATTGCGCACAACAGTGTCCCACAAACAGTCGTGGATTAAGTTGCAGATTTCCTGGATGGATGTTTAGTTGAATGACTTCACTGCCACAGTCAGTTGTTGGGGACAGCAACCATGTACACATTCAAAAATATACTGGACACATGGATAAGAGAGAATAAAGTTGAGCAATATGGGGAAAATGCTGGGTTATGACACTAGGGATAGGATCTAGGATGGGCACTTGGGTGTAGTATGAACACCAGCTGGACGGGATGGGACAAATGATCTGTTTCTGAACAGTACCACAGTCAGCACAGCAATTCAGTGAATGCTTCACAAATACTGGCTTATAGTGAAAGAAGTTTAGTTCTTTCAATTTCACTCTGGCAGTCAGTGATATTTATGTCAAGTTATAATTCATGCCATTTAACCTTACCGCCTTTTTTAGATCAATGTCATAATTATCATCATTCACAATAATACCACCCGTCTGTCGTATTTATTAAAATCTATTATTATTATTACTAAAATCTGACGTCAACAGTAGGAAACCCACACACATATTCACTGAATGAAAAGAGATGTAGGAGCAGTAATGCAAAATTAGTAAAGAGCTTATATTTCTTAAGTACCTTATCATACTGCAATATCACAAAATCTTAACAGTAGTTATAGTAAATGTTTAGGAATGAGCAAAATGGAAGAGCTAATACAAGACTGTGCGGTGTTGGTTTTATGTGATTACTGTGATCAATTGAGGACATGCTGCCTTGTGTGGACCCCTAGCCTGGCATCATTGCGGCATATCTACACTACACCAACTCTGTGAAATGGATCTTTGCATGCAGGTTTTGCAAACAGATGATTAAAGGGCTCAGGCAGGTGAAAAAATCCTCGGGAAACTCTTAACAAAAGTACTTAGCTGCAATAGTACCAGTGGCAGTATAGTGGTTCCTTTAAAACCAAATTTTTGCCACAATTTGTGAAATTCTTGTTTACTACCACATACAGCACAACCTCACAACTATAAACCCATGGGGAAAACAAGAACATCACTTATCTCATTGAGGTTGGAGCTCCTAATTTAATTCTAATGAAAATTCAGCTGGAACCAAGAAAATGAATGGAACCCTTGCAGGAATAGGGTCACTTGTTACCATACGTCACCAGAATTGTTAATTAGTCACTACACTTGCTTTTGTGAATAGTTTTGCCCCATTTCAACATGATAGAAGGCTATAAAACCAAGCTTTTCCTTTCTTCTTTCTTTTACAAAGTCTGATTTGAATAGTCCTCAACATCACTTTCATGCTTTGGAAATTCTGGGCCTGAGTTAGTAATGATGTAAGCAGAATTGGGTTATGAGTGCTAAAATTACCTCTTCCTCTTGCTCCTGATCTGATTCTGACTCCTTTTCCATCCAAAGGTGGTTACAGGAAAAAAAACAAGAGCGGGCAGAGGGTGGATTAGTAAGAAAAAAGATAAACACCTAGATAAAAGAGCATCAAAACAACACACACACTAACATTACAACTTGCTCAGCAAAAAAGTTCTGCTATAAAACATGGGTTTTAGTACAAAGCCTCAACAGAATGAAATGAGTTTGATATATAGGGCTAGTGCTTTTTAATCAATCCGCAGTGTAAAGCAACTTGCTTCTGCTTTAATGGGCTGATTAGTAAAAGCATGGATTGTTCTGCTTGCTGGAGGAGAAAAACAGAAACGATCTGATTCTCTTCAGAAATTGGATGAAGCTGAAAAAAAAATTCAGGTATCAAGTGATAAATAATGGATTAACTCTAGTAATCTGCAGATCTGAACGGTTTCACATCCACAAATAACTACTGTTAAATTAAATTTTATGAATGTCCCACAACTGTTTTCATTTTCTTTGCTTTTGTTAGTGCTTTTCTTTGCTTTAAGTGTTCTGGATCAATTCAAAGTCTCTACTTGTATCCTGTAGTAATTCCTACAGAAAAGAGTTAAACATATAAATAATGTAAATGATCCTTATATTTTATATAGCCCTTAATCGCGTCATTGAAACGTCTCAATGCGCTTCACAGGATTTTTACTGTAAAGTGTAATGACTGTGTATTTGTAGGTGAACGCAACAGCCAATTTGCACACAGAAATGTCCCTCATCAAGCCAAGAGAGTGAGGGCAGAAAGGCTGGAAGGCCCAACAGCCAATGCTTTGGGGGATAGAGCGGGGGATGTTAAGCAGGTGAGTGCCTGCAGAGCGGCAGGAGCAGGCAGGATGGTAGGGTTTTAGAAGGTCACAGAGGTAGGGTAGGGCAAGACCGTGGAGGGATTTAATAGTGAGAATGAGGATCTTGAACTCGATCCTTTGGGGAGATCACACAAACATTAGGCATTTTGTAGCATGGCAAGCTGGCTAGTCAGCATCAAAAGGGCACAGTGAACTTCTGGTCAGTTCAGGTCCATATTAGACACATGCTGTAAGTGTGCAGCTCGGATTTAATTGACAATAATGAGAACCTGGAGTTCTATACAGTGATGATCCACAAACAAGATGTAGAGTAAAATAGCATTTTGTTTTACCTTGGTGTAAGAGGGAAGTGTGATATTTAGGTTGCAGATAGCATGGTGTGCAAGGCCTCTTGTGGACTTTGGCTCTCTTATGAAGGATAGGCGCCCACAAGGTTCCTGAGTGGTATCTCGTATCTATTATGATAAAGAATTTGGGTTGTCAGATGGAACGGCAGTTAAACAAGCACTGTTTCCATAACAATATAATAATTATAACCATGCGGTATTGATCCAGCCACCTAGGATCACCTTACCTGTTAAATCACTGTCTCAAAGGGTTGAGGGCACATCTGCATTTCCAAGCCTCATTGTTCAGATAGGCAGGTTGGTCAACTACCAACAATATCTAAGTCTACTGAGGATCTGTTAGCTTTGTCTGTAGTGTCTCTTGGAGTGATTTTAGCCATTAAGACTCTACGAATGTTGATCATTTTATTAATGCTGAAAGAGTGAAGTGCTGAGTGCACCCATCTTCCTCCAACAAAGAAGTGTTGCCACTTTCATGAAAATAGTGTCCATTTAAAATAATGACATATCCAACATTGCCTCAAAACATCCAGCTTGTGCTCTCCACAATCCAACAGAAGCTGACCTCATTAAGCTTTCCTTTTTGTAACAGAGGGAGATCAGTAATCCTCCCTGACCCCATAAATATGTCTCCACTGGCACCCTGCAATATAGTCTTTGATACAAAAAGCTCCTGTAAAAATAACCCTGAGATATCACTAATAGGAGATGTCTGGAGATTGTCTCTTTGCCTGCAGCAGGATTACAGACAGACACCTTAAAATCTTACATCAAAAGGTATCTAACCCCATTCAAACTGTCTCAATACCAGCCTGCCCTAACTGGAGAACTCAAGACAGAATTGTGGCCAAACTGGCAGATGGTTACACATTCTGGTAATGTCCTCGACTCCAGCCTTTGGAAAAGGAATCCATTTGAATTCTCAACAGCCTAGACCTGACAACCACAATTTGTATAAGAACTACACACAATCTTTCATACAACTAAGCCCAAGTGCCATGTATGTAGTATACCACATTTTAGTTTACTGACTTAGAAAAATAAAGGGTTAATGTGATCAATGAGCTTCAGGTCTCAATATTTATATATCTGTATTTATACAGCAAGTGCATTACATCGTTAAGTTATTTTACCTTGACAAACAATGCAAGTCGGTTTTCTTTGAAAGCGTAGAAGCTGAAGAGATGGTGCTGGCCGCTCTTCGTGAGAGGTACAAGGTTACCAAAGCAGTCAGCGTAAATAGGCTTGCCTTCCAAAACCTGTTCAGTCATAAACAATTCATGATGGAAAACAGTACTTTTGATTTATCATTTTCCTGTTCCCTGTTGGATTTATTACTGTGCTAGAGCCACCGCAGAAATTCATAAAGCTGTACATGACACCATTGTAAAAGAAAGTCATGCGATCAAGTACAATAGTATCTTAATATGAAACATTGCAGTGAATCTCCTCCCAATTTTCCCTCACATTACAATTTATCCCCAAATTAATCCATTTACTGAAATCACATTGAAGGGTATTCTGTCTTCGTAGCTATGACTCTTTTCTGATATTTGAACATTAATTTTCACATTATCACATTACACCACCAAAGTTGATAAATTTACCAGTGAGATGAGAATATGTCTTTGAAAGGCTACGCTGACTTAAGGACACAGTCCAAAACAATTCTGTTCAGCATTTTGCCATCATGTTTAGTGAGCCACTAAAGTGATTTTCCATTTTCAAGTAATGCTGTATAGAATTGTTCCCCTGATTTGTTTCTTTCAGTGCAAGGATACTGAGATACTGGGAACCCTATATCCGTTAAAATAAACATTCCATATTCACAGGAGAGTTATTTAAATCACAGAATATTAAACGTTCCTTCAAGCTTTCAGAAATTAGCTGCTGCCATTAAATTACCTGTTGCAAATGTTTGATTAAGTTCAACTTTATTAAATTCAGAAATAATAACTCTTGTACCTGGACTGAAATACTAATTTGCATTTTAAAACATTTGAGTTCAGTGTTACAGGTCCAGCTTTACAATTGCATATTTTAAAATATTCCTTTTCTTTTGTGGGGTTAAGATCAAAGTGGTTAACTGGAAAAGAAGGACTAAAGCAGGCCTTCTTAATACACTGCTTCAGCACTTATACTCACTTAAACTGCTCCATCTCTTCCAACAGCAGAGAGGATCAGACCAGAAGACCTGATTTATATCTACCTATTTCCACTTGTTCCTGCTGTGGGGCTGAGCACAGCAGAGAGCAGCGAACCCTCTTTAATAACATAACAAATGGTCCACTAAATCGGTTGAGAAACACATTTTTGAGCAGGGGCCGAATCGATTTGCATTACACTGATGGTCTCAGCAGCTGGACTTCAGAGTAAATGACTGCACGTTAAACACAGATTATACTGTGATCTTTGGTGTTAATTTGGCACAATTTTTGCAGCAAATCATTATGAAAAGCACAGTACAGGTTTGCTATTAAGGACTCCATAGGATTTTTATCCTCAGCCAATTTTTCTTTTCTATTTTCTTTTCTCCTCTTCTCCTGAAGGCATCTGCCTTCTTTTCCTTCTATTGCCGTACAGTTCCCCTGGAACTTGCTGTCTTCTGATGACTAATATTCATAGCTTTGACAGTAAGTGTCAGCAAACTATTTGACCACAATGGACATCATAGCCAATTCTGTCCACGCAAGAAAACTTTGCAGTGGGTGTCTCTCTTTAGCAATTGGGAGGGTAACTGTGACTATTTTTCTCCTCCATAACTCATGGAGCCTTAAGTCAATTGTAGTACCTCATCTGCTGTCCCACCTGAGATCAGTTTACTCAGTACTGACAATTGCTCACTGGTCCGTGTCTTTATGCAGTCGGCCATCAGTGCCCAAGGACATCATATCGCCAAACCTGTTGAATATTCCTTCCATTACCTCAACATCTCTGCTTCTCGCAACTTCTGTGAAGTTTTCCTGTTGTTCCAGTGTTTTGTCCACTTTGTCATCTGTCATACAGAAGCACCTCAAACGGGCCTCAATGGGATCCAGTGATTTAGCAAACACCACAAATTTGGCCATGTACGGTACACAGATAATCTCTCTGTACACTTGTGTGGCAAAGTTAACAGATTCCTGGATCTGCCGACAGTCTATGAGCCAGAATCTGGAAAAAAAACAGGGTTCATTTTCTGAGCTGTGTACATCTCAATTTTAATGCTCTAAATTATTTGTTAATGCATCAGATTGAACGAGTGATACTACAGCATCTGATTTTTCTTATTGGCCACTTTGATGAGAGAGTCAAGTCTTTAAAGGGACATTTGTCCTCTGGAATAGAACCTTATTCTTAATGCTTGGTTTGCGAAAGTGCAATTCTGTGATCATGAGACTGCAACCAGAACACTGAAGTGAAAATTGGGCTAAACAATGTGATAATTTGTGATGTGATAACTATTTTACAGTTGTTCTGTAAAGCACTTTGGAACATTATCCTGATGTGAAAGGCGCTATTCCATATGCAAGGATTGTTATAATGACAATACACAAAGTGTGATCACACTTGTCTTGAACTATCAATATGATTAGGAATGAACACCCTGCAACCATACAAATCCTCTGCCTTTTGAAAGGAACACAGCGTAGCCAAATCAGATTTGGCTGATATTCCATACAGCGGGAATGAAAGTGGTGGCAGCAAAGATGGTCACCAGTGATAATTATCACATCACACCCCACCATATTTTTCACTCCAATCCCAAAGGATTTATCTGGAGGATTGTTGGCCAGGATACTAGAAGATATGGATACTCTTATCATCTGAATAGGCAGATGGGATCTTGGTTTAACATCTCATCTGAAGGACATGTGCAAGTTGCGTGCTCATGCTAACTTGTTAACAATTAAAACTTGTCAACAATTGTAAGCTTGAATGAATTTCTGCTTGAAAATCCTTACCTGGCTGATACATTTGTTGTGAAAGAAACACATTCATTAACAAATGATAAAGGAGTAGTTCCTGTTATATCTTCCCATTGGGCTGGAGTTGTTCCACCTGGAAAGAAAAGCAAATCCTGAAATCACGAGATTAATATTACCAATACAACAGCAACTTGTATTTATATAGTACAGTTCACAGAGAGTAACACATTGGAGCACTTTAAAGCCTCTGAGATTCGCTCTCAATGTGAAAGGCGCTGCATAAATGTAAAATGTATTGTATCCAACTGGGCTTAAAAAACAGCATGGCAGAACTCTCCAATTAATTCATTACATTTCTTAACTTAAGTTTTTTGGGGATGTTCCCCTGGTGTGAAAGGTATCATATAAATATAAATTTGTACTGTGCATTTTATTGTGGTTTTCATTGCTGGTTCTTACAAAAATCATGGTTGTGGTCTCTTATTGTCAATTTGAGTGAGTTGTAGTTTCCTCCCCTGGAAATTAGCAGCTTGATTTCCCCAGAGTCCAGGCTTTTATTAACCAGGCTTATCCATTCTGGTTATCATTTAATTTACGAGCAATCCTTTTAATTTCTATAAATCTATTTACTCTTACCATCCATTAGGAATAATAAGGGTTTCCCATGTTACTCTTTAATTAGTATGGATGCTGGACTTGTAATTGAAGATAACTCACACAGTGTGAGTATATTCCCCTTGATTACTGTCTTCATCAGTGGCAACTGCTTGACAGCATCATTTCAGTCATAAGAGACTTGCTTCATGATGGTGACCAAGATGGACAAATAACAGATTCAGATTCCTCAACTCGACACTAATGCCTACTTGTAACTCATGTTGATTGCACATCTAGCAGTGAATTACTGTAGCTTTGACAGAGATTTATCATTAAATATGCAAATATAAATGAGGTCTCGGGCAGTGTGAATTGTGCTGGAGATTGTTCTCTATCAAAGCCCTTGGACCATGCATTACACAACCTGGGGACTTTGAACAAAGTTAATTTTACTATTCTAAAGAGGCAAATGTATGACCAACTCTTAGTAATGTTAAAAAAAAAGACAATTTGGGGATCGCCTTTTTTCTTTGCAATCTGATTAAAAATAATGTATAAACAAGCAATATAAATCCAGACTCCTGTTCAACACCGCTGTGATGCTGGGCACAGCACAAAAGAGTAATACATGAGGTTTCTCTTCTTAATTTCCTCAGACTGTGGTTCCCATTTGTAAACAAAATGTAGGACCTGTGCTTATCGGAGTGTACCCTTAACTATGAATGCCTGAATTTTTCTTCAAGACCACAATCTTGGTGTGTATCTCTGCCATTTAAAACCAAGTGTCAAATATCTTACCTGTTATACTGCAAAGTAACCTGAGAGTTGGAGTATCTCCGCCATAACCATTCATCAGTCCATCGGGAGAGGATTTCGGAATAGGAATCGTCATAGTAATAGGTTTATGGAACTTCCTCCTTCTGGGCTCCAAGGTGACAATTGGGCTGAAGGTTGCCTTGTTGCCCAGAATCTTCTTGACTAGTTCAATATGCATAGGCTGGGCCTTGATATTGAAAACACAGCAGTAATTAATACTCTTATTCAATAGTGTCTGCAAAATACACTACATTATTAATATTCCCTGTTCACATTGATGAATTATACATCAAACTGAATGTGTGTTTAATAACTTATACCAAACCTTATACATTTTTAAACTTTGAGAAGCCGTGCTTACCTGAAGTCCAACTCTAATCCTCTTGGTTAAGGCTCCTTCAGGGAACACTGCCTGGACCTGTGGTACCACAGTACTGCTCAGTATACCTCCTTCAGGTCCAATCAGGTTGCTGTCCTGTCTGATCCTGGACACCACTGCAAAGTACTGTGGAAAGTCTCTGGTGATGATGCGACAAATACGCTTTCTGTCAAGTTCTTCTGGACTGTCGAGCACTATAGCAAGAACAAAACAAGGCAATTCAAGTGCTATTTCTTTTAAGGTGCAAGGTCTGGACTCAATTTTGCTACTTATCGGCCACCGATGGTAGGGCGGTTGGGGCGGGGGATGTGGAGCAGACCGGAGCCAGAGGAACGGAGGTTATGGGCAGGTAGGTAGGGGGATAGTAGGTCGGAGAGGTAGGAGGGAGCAAGGCCGTGAATAGCCTTGTAGGTGAGGATGAGAGACAGAGCCTAATAATAATCCCTCCAAAAACCAAAAACAATAATAAATTGGTCATTTTCAATCTACGACTGTTTGTGGGACATTGCTGTGCGCAATTGGCTGCCGCGTTCGCCCACAAATATACAGTCAATTCACTTTACAGTGTGTTCTGTGAAGCGCTTTGGGACGTCCTCCCGACGTGAAAAGCGCTATATCAAATGCAAGGATTATTATTATTATTATTATTAGGCTTCTAATTCTAAAGCATAAATCTGTATTAATCATGGATACGGGAATTTAGACTTGACACACAATATTTAATATTATTAGAAGACGTTCTCCTTGCAGCTCTGATGCAAGTTGTCAACCCAGAAATCAGTGAACGGAGCAAAACAGGAGTGACACAGGAAAGCTTTGCTCTCGAGAAAACACTTGCTTTAAAATCCAAGTCCGTCGTACAGAGTATTGTGCGCCAGGCAGCAGAATAGTCACATCATTTTTCAAAATACAAAATGGACCAAGTATGCTGGACCCATAACTGAGCAGCTTTGATTCAAGATCATTAGATGTATCCTTTGTTGATTCATAACCTTGTTATTTGTGCCCATCCCCAAGCAACAGTTACCTTCGTCCATTCCATTCAATATTTCATTCAGCTCTTCCTCGGTGTATTCACACTGGTGCTCTTTCCAGATCTCCCCGGTCTCGCTGCGTAACACCACCAGCTCTCGTTCCTTCCCACGCACCGCAGCAAAATGTGGGATCTCCACAATCACTGGCCTGTCACACCAGACGTCAGAAAAGTGAGCGAGGGACTTGCTAAAAAACAACCCAATTCTGGAATGTCTCAATTCTACTCTCTAGCATTTTTCATGCATAGTCTGTAACAAAGTGAGCTGGCATTCATCGTTCAATGCAGGTTCAAGGTAATCAGATAGAAATTACAGAACAGAAAATTCTGCCTTAGTGTCTGACTTTTATCTCAAATTATGTGGGATATGAAAGCTGTGGTATCATTGAAGCAGCATTTTTAAACTCAAAACTAGTTAAAGGAAATCATGTTTGGCTTTCTTTTCAAGTTTTATTTTCTCTCCGTTTGCAACTCATTTCTAGGAAACCTCATTCCACTAGGTCCAAGAGTGGGATCTGTTCAACCTTCACCATGACTGTTGCCAATGGTACTTCTTGGTCAGGCAGTTGGTATCGAGATTAGAAAAAGCTTAATTCAGTTTAGTTATTGCATCTGATTGAGCAGGAACCCTGATTTTTAGGTGACTGCAACCTTCCTCCTATGATCCTCCACCTAATGATCCCTAGAACTTAACAATTGGGAGTTGAATGACAGACAGTGGAGTTAAACTGATTTACAACACATAAAACACTCAATAATCTGATCTCTTACACCACAGAAATAAAATCAGAATGCTTATTAATTCAGTCAGTGTTTACTTGCATCATAAAGGTGTGTAATATGTACTTCCTGCAATATGTACTTCCTGTTGGATATGTACTGCACAAGAATCAGAAGCAATCCTGAACCCTGGTAAACCGGCACAAATTTACAGCTTCTACAAATAAAATAATACTCTGGACAATTCTAAAACTAATGAATAAATACAATAAGGTTGTTTCAGCTATTTCTTGATTAAGATTAGGAACAGAAACAAAATATGGATCAAGAAGAGAATTTGGCCTATCAAGGTTCCTCGTTCCACAAACTGTACAAATCCTACCTTATTATGGGCTTAGAAAGCCGATTATATAGCCAATTCACTCAATATCCTGGGGAAAAGTTCTGTATAAATTTCCCGTTCCCTTAAGATGATCAAGGTAAAATTCCAGAAAATCAATAACTCCATTGCCACAACTACACCATTCAATCCTGACCTGCTTCTCTCAAACAAACCTATAACTTCCGATGTAATACGTTGGAAGATAATTAATTTTCCAGTTTTTTTCAAAAGAATTAAGCAATGTAATGTTAATTGCCTTTGTTGGCTGTCTGACTTGACATCCACTAACTTGTGGGCAAAAAGGTCCTTTTAATCTCTAGTTTTACTTGAATCTTATTCATTGTAAAACTATATTCTATACTTTTGTATTCATGTTCCAAATGATGCAGTCTGGCTATGTTTACATTATCTATTGAATCTTTTAAAGACCTGGATCTTGCAATGTAATGAAGATCTATATCCTCCTTAAGTAACATTAAAAAAAATTTAAAATTTGAACCAGTCTTTTTTATTTGTCTCAATTTTTTTTCAAGTCACTATTTATATAGCGAAATACCTTAGTGAAAATATTCTCCAGTAAAATCGCTCTCCAGTTGATTTAGTACTGAAAGGTTCAGTTTGAAACATGTGAGTCGAATCAGTTCTTCACTATTCTGAGGTTCATAAAATCAATACCTTGTCTGAACAATAGGTCCACAGGAAGGGAGAGCAAAACGAGGTTGAACTGACTCCAAAGAGGCACAATTGCCAAACCCAGTCAAATCTGCATTAATCTGCGGTAAAGTCAAAATTGCAAATATGTTTTCAACTCTGCAAGTGCCATGGTTATAAATTAATTCCAAAATAAAATATTACCTCTGTATTTTCTGACTGGCATAGAGTACAATATCTCTTGGTGATGCTCTATACTAATGGTAACAATTCTGGGTCACTGATTCAGTACTGAGGTTTGGCAGTCCTGTTAATGTTCTTCCCAGTCTGTTTGTTGACTGTCAACACTACAACGTTTGGAAGTTCAGATCAACAGACAGTCAGCGACATGGGCTTTCACTGAAGGCTAACTGGAGAGCTAACCAAACCTTGCAATTTCTCACAAACCATGGAATATTGGTGAAACAGCATCAGATGTGGAATGCAGACAGTAAAAAGCAGTGGCACAATAGTTGAATGTGAAACAAAGTAAAAACCAGAAACAAAAGCAGAAAGAGTGTGAATCTATAAGAGAAAGCAATTAATTTGGTAAATGGGTAAACATTTGTGTCTACTTAGTGCAGACAAGGTAGGTCCAAATTAATAAATGAACCAGGCAGCAAAATAGAGCAGCAAAGTATATCAGAAGATAATGAACAGTAAAAGATATTAAAGAAAATAGCAACAAAAGTAGTGGAAAATAGAATTAAAAAGACAAGTATTGATTTTATTATTATTTGTGCATATATTTTGTTACTTTTCCTCCTTCACCCTTGATTCCTTCCCAAGTGTCCCATGCTAGCTGCTAATCTTAATGTGACTTCATGTTAAAAATAAATTTAATGAAAAGAGAAAGAATAATTAAGATAGAAAAATTATATTACAGGACAGAAATAGACAAAGGGAAAACAGAGACAATAGTTGCACATTGTAAATGAATAGGCAAGATACTGGTTTGGACTTAAACTTTGGGGTTTAAAAAGTTAAGTCATATTAAGTCCCAGGACTTAACTGTTTTAAATCCTAGCAGGATCGTGGCCTATAAGCAGGAAACAAGACATAAACTGTATTGCACTTGAGTTATATCGCTCACAACAGCACTTCAACTTCTTTCCAGTTCATTTTGTTACAGACTACAGTTTAATACACTGTTTGACATGGAGAGGGAAAAAACAAAATAAAGCGGAAACAGCTTGCAACAAACACATGAGGAATTAACAAAAGGAGGGGAGGGGTGGAGAACAGGGGAGCAGGCTCCTTGTTGGTTTTAAATAAACACATTCCCAACTATGACAACAATCACAACACAAAGCCACATAACATCACAATGACAAGATACATCTGGCAAATGTGCTCAAACGTGTCTACATCCAAAATATACATATACAATATTAAAAAAAAACATGTAAGGGATAAAGTCAGGAAAAAAGATCTTCTTGAACAAAACAAATTTAAAAAAATATTGTGAAAGGTGCAGGGGATATAGCGAGGCTGCATCCAATAAATTCTTCTCTGAACATTTTGTTAATCTCTCCTACCCAAGGAATTTGGTTCCTGAAGGCCCAAGCTGCAGGATTCGGCTAACCAAGCTTTCTCCCTCATTTAGAGGGGGAGGAGAGTTAGGAAGGTGCAGCTTACTGAGTACATCCAAGCAGCAATGGAAGAGAGAAGGTGAAGATATCAAACCACACTGGATTTTATTACAGAAAACATTCATTGTTCTTCCCCCTTTATTTTGCTATTCAAATGTTTGAAGGTCTGCTCTTCTGTTGGTAATAATCAAAATGCAATCAGTACCTTCTCTGTTATTTCCCTGGGATGATTTGCTTAATCAATTTTAATATTTGGAATGTATATACCACTGCAGTCAAAGCTTTCATTACCGACAATAATTGCCAATCAATAATGTACTCAATTATTTGGTATTATGTTTCAGGAGTGGACAAATTTATCTTTTGAGAAATTGTTTTCATAACAGTCAGCAAAATACGAGTAAACAGTTAAACAGTTAAACACTTTCTTACTTTCCTGATTTCCTTCCTTGTTCTCCACACTGTTTTGAGCCACTTGGTGAAGCCCTGGCTTCACTGCAGCAGGTTGGGTAACTCAGTGATCACTATTGTGCCACTGAAGCTCAGCTCACAGAGGCTTCCACTGTTGAAATCTTCCAACAATTAACAAGTCCTTCTTACCTGCATAAGTGATGAAGCCACAGAGCAGAGAAAAAGCTGATGGGCAGAATGGGGGAAGGAATGGCAGGAGGGTATGAAGCATAACACACTTCTACCACCATGTGCAGGATATTTCTAACCAAATACCAGGATAGATTATCTGGGCATATATCTGCAGTTCAATTTTTATATGAGTTTTCAGACATTAATGTTGTTGAACCTTTCATCACCAGCTGCACCATAGATGATTTGTCTCTGTCTTGGATTTATTTCACCTTATACCAACAGTATATTTCACAGGATTTCCATAAAACCAATTGAATTGTTTAATTTATCATGTTGCAAAACCCGCCTCCTCTCCCAGGTGAGTGAAGAGAAAGTTCTGAAAGTAGAAGTATCCTTTTAATACACTTCATGTCCTGAGCAAATATTGTAAAACGAATGCAGCATATTATATTATTCATAAAGCACCACCACATCTAGCAGCAGAATGTTATAGTGCAGCCTAGTTGTGACGCAGTAGCTTGGGGACTATAAAGTCCCAACCCACTTCATAACTGAGCACGATGCCCGTCTGCATTCACTGGGCATGTGCACCGAAAGTTGTCTGTTCAAAACCCCAACTAGCTTCTCATGCTAAAATATAGCTGACTTCTGTCCTGATGACTGGAGGTTAGTCATTTTCTCGTGGTTTTTTTTTGTGGTTTGAAATAAGTCGGCCATAGGTCTGGAAATGTTCCAGTGAGTAAACATCAAGGACGACCAACCATTCACACAATAATGTTATAATCTTATAATGAAGCACAGGGTTCTGCTGTGGAAATGTGTGGAGATCAAACGTTATGGAGATCAATATTAAGTGATATCCCATTGAAGCTTCATTCTTTCTTTGCCAAACCGAAATTCATCTTTGAGGCTTTAACTGTCTATTACATAAAGCTGCATGTTTATTGCATTGCCCAATTTCATACGTTTGCCCCCATGCTGCTGTAACTGCATTGTAGTGACAGACTGATTCTTATGGAAGGAACTTTGTTTTGGTAAATGCGAACTTTCAGGCAAATGTCATCCATATTTCATCTGTTCTGAAACATCGCATCTTACACTCGCTGTTTCTTCCACTTTCTACAAATATGTGTTGTCAAACTCATGGAGAATGTAATATGGGACCTTTCAAATATAATCAGGTCATGATGGGTTTAACATTACCATTTGAATGACAGACAAGAGAGCTGGCGTTCAATTGCAATTATTTGCATATTTAAACACTTACCCAAGGAACTGGGCACCAGATGGTCCCACTTCAATCAGTCGACTTGTGAGACCCTCTCCTTCCACCATGGGGGGCATTGTGGCCAGTCTATGACGTTTAACCAGGCGACAAGTCACACGGGTTGGAGCCGTGCATTTCCGGGGAGGAATGATAATGCGAAGTCCATTGTGACGGCAGCCCCGCATGGATCCTCCACGGGCATCCACCATAAAACTAACCAGGAACCTGCAATTGAATACAGAGGGTTTATCCATTGGCCACTTATTTCTAATCAGTGACTAGTTGTCTCTCAGGGGAGGAAAACAGTTGCCGGCTGTTCAGATGAGGGAGAATATGGAATAAAGGAACGCTCATGCAATCTTTGACAGCTCTGAATACTCCTAGGTCAAGTGTGGTACATGAGTGAAGGGCTGAGGTTGAGTTCCCACACTTCACCTAGATGATGTAACCTCAGCTAAAATTAATTCCAATTTCTGCTAGACTAGGTGACATTGGCACTCCTAAATTGAGTCAGATATCTCATTTAAGTGTGAGCTTCTGATCTACGTGATAAATTCAGGGTTTTTTGTGCTGTTGTATTAGAGGCAGTAAAGAGACTCCTCCTTTCAAATCCAAGCCACATCAGATCTTCTTTCCAACTGCTCAATTCAGTGGTAAAGACTTGTTTTTGATCTAAGGTTTCACTTTTGCCATTAAAACTACGACCTTTAAAGATTTAGCACCACCGAGGTGATGTGGGTTCATGTGCACTGAAGAGTAAACTCTGACAACAAACATCTTTCACTTGTGGTCCTTCACTTCTAATCCAAAGACTCAGCCCACCATTGTTACCAACATTGTCACCTAGTCCTCTGCAAAAAGTTAGCAAACACTATAAATGGGTAACATGCAGGATAGTTTCCTTATGTAAAATGTTCTTTATTTTTGCTCCATGGATAAAATCCACAAAGTGGGATTGTTTTTCATGTTACTGTGGGTGCAATGGTCTTCAACATCCTTCATTCAGATAAGTTTCCAAACATTGCATGATTATTGCTTTCCAGCAATTCAGTTTCATAGAAAAATTGGGACTGGCACCTCTCTAAGGAAGCATTCTTTTTTGTAAACGTTAGGGAGTTTCTGAAAATATCATCTTCACATCATGCAGGTACAGCAGCTAGTTTAGAAAGAAACTCTGGGAACACCATGCCATCCTACATAGGACAAGGTCCAACACCACTGGAAATGACCCTTTGTTTTACATGAGCATCAGATTAATGAGATCATATTGCCATTGTTATTCCTTGATTGAATTTTCCTCCAAGAGCTGAGCCTTTGCAATAAACCAGCTTTGAGACTAAAAGGCTTACAGTTTTCTCTCTTAGACATCCAGACTTGAGGTCTCCTATTGGGACTTTGGTTCTCCATAACCCAGCAAAGTGATAATTGCTTCAAACTATTTCAGTAACCCCCCAACACTGCCATCATGTTACCTTAGTTATTAATTTCTTCTGGATAAATGCAAATGTTTAAAAACATGATACAGATAGGTGCTTGATAATTCCACTGCTCAGTGATGTGATGACATTAAAATCGCAGTTGATCACCGGTTCATAATCTGAATCCTTAAGAATTTCCAGCCCCATATAGATCAAATACAATTTAAACCTGCGCTGCGCATTTCTCTACATTAGTTGCATTAACTCTCAGAACTAACAGTTAATTTATAGTAACAGGTAAAAAAACAGTAAGAACATTAAGGTTAAAAATTGCTTTCAGTGTTACATCAATCATCATTCGACATGTAGGCTCTTGATAGAACTTCACAAAAGTCTAAACGGAATTTGTACCCAATTATTAGGGAGAAATTCCACCTGGATTGGATTTACTTTACGAACAATGATCTCAGCCTTAACTTTGAAGATGGTTTTCTCCAGTTCTGAAAGAACTTACAGAAACAATGGCTTCAAAATTTGTCTATATTTAAGAATTCATAAAATTTTAGGCGTTCTAAAATGACACATTCATAGAGAAAATCTAGACACAGGTAAAATTTCTCTCCCTATATCTACATCAATTGGATTACGGATCAACATGAATTGTGAAGCAAATTTCATCAAAGGCCATTACCCTCCCTACTCCTCTAATCGTTTGCATTTCTTTTTACTTCAGTGGTTATTTAGTCACAAATATGCAGCATACATTCAATCACTGATTTCAGTCACGCTTTGGAAAACAAAGATTTTTCACACCAAACACAGGTCAAATTGTCTGTGTAATTCATTTCCAAGATATAAGATATGCAGTTATTTCTTTGTTAATTAGTGCACTCCTATGGGAAAATAAAACTGCAAATTTCAAGTGTTAATACAAAATTATGAAGCGGATACAGAATGGGAGTAGCAGAATACCCAGCTTATTTCTTTATCAAGGAGCAAGTGAGTTATAAAGATCATCCTCACAGAGGAATAAACCAGATATTTTGCCAGTCCTTGCTGATATTCTTGATACAACGGGTGAGGAGATGGTTCGCTATACATCAATTTTGATTTGATTTATTTCTCTTGTTTTAAATGGTGATTGTTACCAGAGCCAAACCTGTCACGTGAACAAGCTGTATCCTCTCGTTAAAACACAGTGGGCTGCAATTTTGAAAATCCACTTAACCATGGAAGTCACCATCTCTTTCAGCTTCAAATATTATTCCCTTCATGAGTCAGTCGTAGTCATGACAAAACATGAATCATAGAGCAATCTTGAATACCACATGGCTCCAAAAACAGAAAATATATATTTTTTAAATTCTGAGGCCAAAACGGGGAAGAAAGATTGCTGCTCAATTCCTTATAATCGACCATAAATGTGATCCTCTCAATGGTTGGGAAAAGCAGATTTATGTAAGAAATCTGAGAGTGAATATTCCCGTCTCACCGGAGTGGGATAACAGCAGTATTTTTGCCGCATTCACCTATCTCAGCACCAGTTGTATAAAGAGAGACAGACACTGGAATCAGTGTGATTGCTTCAAAATGGGTCAGTGCTCTACATTATTGAGGCCCGTAAACCTAGGGTACTAACCCTTCCTATGGGAAAGCATGAGCATTTTAAGTAACTAAAGATACAACTGAAACAGCTTAGTTGATTAAGAAATGTTATGTCGCCATAATTCAAGCAAAATGTGAGAAAATTGTCAACCACATTGGTGCTGTTGCAAACCAATCATCTTATAAGATGTCTTATAGTCTTATTTGTCGATTTTGTTTTTCCCCTTTTCCCCATTGTATTCTACTGTGCTTCTTTTTTAACGCATTTGCTTGTTCAAAGTAACTGATGGGATAATTATAGGCATCTCCGTTCTGGATGACTTGGCTTGAGTTACATCATAGCACTGTCAGGTGCCTGTGTTTGCAGGGTGGGGAGGCTCATCAATGTACGTCGAAGCACTGAAGAATTTTGAGGCTGGGTTACGTGGAGCTGAGAAAACAAAGAAAGCCAATGGAAGTGCATGAAGGCACAGTGCAAATCTTCACCTCGATTCACTTTCGGGGACTGGCGAGGAGCAGCTGAAACAGAAGATGCGTATGAGCACGAGAAAAGCATGGTGCCAGGATGACAGCAGTTAATTCACAGAAAAGCTACCTGACAGTGATATCGCTGCAAGGCAACAACAATTAAACCACAGCATTGTTTGCACGTAAAGGATTCTTAAGAAATCATTCATTGTCCTAATGCCCAAGGGTTAAACATGGCTTTGCCTTCATATTGTCAATCAGAAGTTTGCATTCTGGTCTATTGCCATGTTCTACTTTTTCTTTCAATTAAGTAATAAAGAAAATGTAGTGATTCCACATGGCCACCAACCGACAGGAGTCTGCAGTAATGATAATAATAAATATAATCCTTATGTCCGTTACAACGCCTTTCACGTCAGGAAGACTTCTCAAAGCGCTTCACAGGATATACTATGAAGTATAATGACTATACTTTTATCTGCAGGCAATGAATTGGACTCGCAGTCCAGAGTTTAATCTTCTAGCATTCTGATTTTAATTATAATCAGAACAATGTCATATTCTGAACTTTTCTCTGGTTTCTTTCTTGTTATGTTTTCTCCCACACAGTGAGTTTGTGCGTAAAAATGCAATATTCCATTAGGCCTGGAAGACATCAACCAAATCAAAGCGTTATATATTTCTCAATCCAGTCGTTGCACCACCACATTTTAGAGGTGTTTCCACCTCGTAGACACGGTGATTAACATTCAAATTGATTTTACCCCTGGAAATAATATTGAAAGTAATGCTTTACTGACCAAATGCTAAGCAAGATAATCAGAGGCACTGTGGTGGGGGTATTAATTCATCTCTGTTGTTTACTGTGAATTCTGCAAACCTTCAAAAAGGGATTTGCGATATTCAATAATATATAGATCTCCCTATTATTTCTACGAATCCATATATATTGTTGAATATCCCAAATTCCCTTTGAAGTTTTGCAGTATTGATAGGAAACAACAAGTATTAATTAAATCTACCTATAGCAAGTGGAGGGAAGGATGTTTCCCAAAACCTAGGACAACTCACGTGGTGAGTTCAAAAGCAGCCTAAACCAATGAGTTAGAAATATCCTCCCTCTTCTGCCGATGAAATTATTTGGGGCAATTTCAATCATGAGCGCAGGCAGGTCACAGGCAGCACCGGGGTCACAGGCAGCCGTGGGGTCACAGGCAGCCCCGGGGTCACAGGCAGCCCCGGGGTCACAGGCAGCTCCGGGGTCACAGGCAGCCCCGGGGTCACAGGCAGCCCCGGGGTCACAGGCAGCCCCGGGGTCACAGGCAGCCCCGGGGTCACAGGCAGCCGTGGGGTCACAGGCAGCCCCGGGGTCACATGCAGCCCCGGGGTCACAGGCAGCCCCGGGGTCACAGGCAGCCCCGGGGTCACAGGCAGCCCCGGGGTCACATGCAGCTCCGGGGTCACATGCAGCCCTGGGGTCACATGCAGCCCTGGGGTCACATGCAGCCCCGGGGTCACATGCAGCTCCGGGGTCACAGAGAGAGCTTGGACCTCATTAGATTGAGCACGAAAATCTTGTTGGGGATGGACACAGTTGGACAAGATGGAGAGAGTGAAGATAAGGAACTGGATTGACGAAGCTTTCCATATAAAACCATACCTTCCAGTGGTCAATCCCAACTGGAGCTGTGGGAAACGACACTCATTTCACGGGCTTGTTTTGGAAACTGAAGCATGAGGCATGACTGTGTGTGTGTGTGTGTGTGTGTTGGGGGGAGAGTGGGAGGAGAATACTTATTTCTAAATATTTTTGAAAGTAGCTGTGGTCCTTCCATTTAAGAAAAATGGGTATTCTGTCCATACTGAAGCTATTAACCTATCAAAAATCACGCTTTTTTCTCCCTGGATTTCTCTCTCATGTTTTATTGCACCACAGTTACTGTTGATTTGTTCTGTCACCAGCTGCTCTGCTGTGAATGTGTTCGCTTTGAAGCCATGATGAATGATGATCATGAAAAGTTGTACTCAAAAGTCAGCCATCTGCTCTTCCTTTAAAAGTCCTACACAGCCTTTAAGTCATTTAAGTGGACACTTAAATTGGTGACATTATGTCAAAATGGTTCATTTGCTGAAAAATTGCATCTGGGATGAACTGAATGAGCAGACACTTGAAATCTGGTACACCATTACTGCATGCTATATATCACTTGTTGCAACTTGGGTGTGAATCTTCCAGCCACCCATTTCAAATCAATATTTTCTTTAACTGAAGAACAGCAAAATACTGTACATCATTAATTTCAGTTTAGGAAGGTAAGACTCTTTTGGACACATTTTTGAAATGAGCAGAGCTTTCATTCCAGAAAAGATTTGCCTTCCAATTCCTGGTGTCCCAATTCTTTCCCAAAAGGAAATGTTAAGTGGTCTGTATTTTCTATGAAACATAGGAACTTTGTTGGTCTGGGGACCGTTCCGTACGACACTAATAGGAGGGCATGGTGCTGCAGTATGTTACTGTACCAGTCCACTGTTCAATGGAGTGGTAGGGAACAAATTCGCCCCTCACAGTTCCCCATGCCATGAAGAGGAGGTGGTGAGGCCACATACTTACCCATAGGGAGGGACAGTAAAATCAGAGGGAGAGGCATCCAGGGCCACTGTTGTGTACCTCCTAATAGGTGACTCAAGAGTGTCACTAGCAGAGCCCTGGAAGTAGGTTGTCTGCCCACTCTCTTGGCACTGGAGCACCAATGGCCCACGCCACCGTCCAGCCTTGATTTTCTGAAAATTTCTAAAGATAAGTATCATGAAGCAGGTTAGAGAAATGCACAGAGCCTAAGAATACTGATTCATTCAAAATGTTCTTGGAAATAAGTTAATCGTGATCTGGTGTTGGTTGATTTTGTTCAGTCCTTGAATATCCACACAAGATGCTGTTTGATGGTCCTCATATGTTTATGCAGTCAATCATTGAGAACTAGATCAACAGCTATGTTCAACACATTGCTATCAGGTACAAGATATTTTTAAAGATAAAAATGTCAAATGCGTGTGATTAATCACTCTAATAGTTAATACAAAATCTGGCAGAGAAGGAAATAAACACTGAATGCAGAAAATAACTACTGAAAAATAAGGCTGATATAAACATTGTCTATACTACTTTTTCCCCAAATGTGAGCTGTAAAATAAGGGGATTTATGGACTGTTATTTCCAGTGCGAATTTTACACAGTTTACTGAGACTATCCTTGAGCTTGATTACATTGTTTGTTTGGTCAATCAGGTGTCTAACAGATGTAGAAAGAGTATCAAAACCACAGAGTTGCACATATTTTTACCATCTGTGGAGGGAAATTTCCCTGTGTCTGGAATGGAAAGCATACTCCCTCCCTGGAGGAATGCATCCTACTTTCCTAGTGCAGGAGAGTATTAGGTGCAGATGGGCAAGAGCCAAGATTTAGAAACCCCAGACTGTGCATTGAGAGTCCTACAAGAGTTCAACCAGCCCAAACCACACATTTTACTGTTGTCAATACTGTCTGGCAAGCTTCCAAATACTTATTAAACTAGAGCCACCCTATCCACAAGGACTTCCGTTTGTAGGACTAACAGGAGCCAAGTGAGAAGAATCCCCATCTCCAGTGACTGGTTTGTACCTCCAAATCCTGCTGATAAGCTAGGATGATCTGTCATCAAAAGGGTCCTGGAGTACTGCAGACTTGTCTAGGAACCAGATTACCAAAACAACCACAGAGGATTGACTCAATTCTGATATTTAGTTGCCAAGCACGTCACCTTGGAGCCAGCTCAGCCCCCAGGGTCCATCGGTTCCCTCCTCCATCTACCCCAAGAGAGGACAGTCACTAATTAGTCACTTGCCATCCATTCTTTGACAAAAGTGATTAAAAAATGTTGGCTTCTTGCTGGTTGAGACGGCAGCAGATAGGAGATGACTGTGAGCTGCAATATTCTGGAAACTACAACCAAAGCCCACGGTGCTCAATATGCTGTATTTGCCATTGCTCCTTTGAAAGAGCTGCAAAATCCGTATGCTTCTCCGGACATAGCAACTACCTCCAAAATGTCTGTTTGTTGGCAGCCTTGTAATTTGTAGCAGTCGCCATAATCTTTATAAAACTACTGTTACATCTCTGAACACTGACAGAATACCTAACAAGATCACAGTCCTTCATTTCTTGCGAACATCATGAATTAAGAAGTAAAAGTTATAGAAAATATCAGAAAAGCACAGCAGACCCATCAACATCTGAAAGAGAAACCTCGGTTAATGTTTCAGGTGGAATAAGGGGTGAAAATTCTATGTCCCTTAACAGATATGATGAAATATCAACCTGTTACAAACATTGTAATGTTCTCCCTCTAGTTTCTAAATGTATTCAGAAATCTACATTTATTCTTTGCCCAAACAACAAGTGTGCTATATTCTGACTGGATTACTCAGAGTTTCATATCCAGTTCACGAAGCAATAAAACGTATGTTTCAGTTCCAGTTTAAAACAATGCTTTATATAGGGTTTTATATATTTGGTTATGTAGTTGGTGCTAGTTTAGAATTATGGTCAGCACAGTTTACACAACAATCTGTTTGGGGATTCAAAAGTGAATTAAGCGTGCTTTGAAACTATCACAGAAAATGCTTAAATTAGCAACTTGACAATAAATTACAACCAGTTTAATTAACAATGTTTTTTTTGTCTTATTTTAGGTTGAACAATATAAAACTCAAATAATTTGTAAATCCTATGATGAAGGAAGCATGTCTTGCTGATACAGAACAGGATAACATAGCCTCGAACTCTCCTCCTCACATCTCCTTCCCCCCATTTCCATGCCTCACCAGGCTCCACTCACAAGCTTATACATAGATTTTCTTATTTGTTGCTTACCCTGAATGGATTGGGCTGGAGGAAAGAGCCACATTGTCCAAGTTCTCCTGTTCCCAATTTAAGCGGTAGGTGGAATCCTTATCTGGGCCTTTGGCCAGAAGTACCTGCATGCACAAATGGACAATTTCTTTGAGGCAACAAGTTGTCTCTGTAAATACTAATGGCTATTTAAAAAGTTAAATCATATTTAAAAATAGTAATGATTCACTTGAATAGATGTAATAGCATTTAATTCTACATTTGTAAAAGAAATCAATTTCAGTTTAACATTACTCCACACAATAACTAGACAATTCCCATCCTCCAACACATTTACACTTTTAATCAAAGAAAAATGTTCAGCAACTGACTTTGCTTTTTATAACCCACGTAAACAGATAATTTTGTAAAACTGTCTTCATAATTACAATGAACTATAACAAGAAGTACATTAAGATGCCTATGCAAGAGAATATTTCTCAATGAACTGAAAAGGAATAAAGTCTTACACTTGTGTTCAAATCCCTTCACTCTCTGGCACCTCCCCACCTCTCCAACTTCCTCACTCCCCAATCCACCACCTGACGCCTCCACTCGGCTGGTACGGGCCTCCTGCTCGTTCCTCGTGCCCTGCGCTCTATCATTGGAGGTCGCGCATTCAGACATTACGTCCCGAAACTGTGGAATGCTCTCCCTCAATCCCTCCGCCTTGCCCCCTCTCTCCCCTCTTGCAAGTCCTGCCTGAAAATCTTCCTTTTCGACCGTGCTTATGGACACCTCCCCCCTGGCTCGGAGTCAGGCTGCGCCACTGTTAAGCTCTCTGAGACGCTACCCTGGTGGAGAGTGCTATACAAGTGTAAGTTGTTGTTTTTACAAGATGCAGACCAAACACAACAACATAAATAGTCACTAAAACGTCACAGAGAAGCATTCCCCAGAAATTTATAACCATTAGCACATCACAATGATATTCTGAATCTTGGAAACACAATGTTTCATACCTGGCTGTTAGTAGCAGCGACGAACTCCTCGATCATGGCACTGTCCCTCTGGTATGGGCCATGGCTTGGTGTGTTGGACCTGTCTGAACTGAAGGATCGCAGGCTAATGGATGGGTGGGCAGGTTGCCATGAAAATGGAGCAGCACGATGATGATGGGATGGGCAGGGGAATGAAGAAAGCATGCGGTTAGCATATTATGCAACTTCCAGGGGGCTGGGAATTAGCATAAAGAAAAGTGAATTCACTGACAGTGCTCATCAGATTCAGCACTAAATAGACAGAATATTCAACCATCATTAACCACTGGATGAACCAAATTGGGGTGGAGGTAGTTTTGGTTATGGATGGAAACCAATCAATAGTTGAACCAATTCAGCAAGCGATTATTCGGACACATGATACATAAAAGAAACTGGGGTGAAATTTGTGGCATTTTAATAGCATAATCTTTGTGAAGATTATCACAAGGAATGCCTTGTGAAATGGCGCAAATTTCACCCAGTGTAGAAATGACAAGATGTTTCGCTCAAACCTATGTTGCTTCTCTCTCGAGACTAAAATGATTCTGAAAATAGGAACTGAAGTGGCTTTTAGAGCCACTCTATTTTCTCTGCTGGGTGAGTGACCCAATACATAAACAAATCTCTGTGCAGCAAAGAGCACCAGGTATCTCATGCAATTAAAATAATTAAATAACATTGCATTAATTCAAACTATCACCAATCTAAGAGGATAAACCATAACACAAAAAATCTTAACAGAGAAATTTAATTAGATAATGTTCACCTCAATACTTAAAGTCATCTCTTTTCAGGGGCTTCATTTTAATTCTGTATGGACTGATTAGGCACCTAGACACTGAGCACGCACTCTTGTGCAAACCCCTGGAAGATATACTGAGCCAAGCTACAGTCAAGTCAACCATATGCTTTTTAAAGCAATGTGACTGTGCTGTGTCCCAAGCGGTTACAGAGTTTTATGGCTCCAGGTCTATAATTTCTAGTTTCCTTCAACCCTGTAAGTTCACATAGTGAACTCGAGTTAATTGAGTAACATAAAAAATAATATAATGGAATCCTATGGAGGTTTTTAACCCAATCACTGGCAACAAGTGTACATCATTTGACCTTCAATGATAATAATAATAATAATAATGAATGTTATTTCTATGTAAAATACAAATATCTAAATAAAATCCATGCAGGGAAGAGCATAAATCAAAATCTTTGTCCTCAGCGGCCATGTATTTGTGAGAATGTTTTTGGGGGAGGGCGGAGGGGAGTTGTTTTCGTGACTTAATTTACCCAATTTAATCCAATGTGTGTTCAGCAAGTCTCAGTTGAAAGTATAGTTTCAGAATCTATTTCACATTTTGTGAGAATAATTACACCACAAAATGATTAACGGTATTCAAAAACATACTGATACAACGACTTGCAAAGTGTCTCAAAGTGTTTCAGATAAATGGTTTTGGAGACCAAGCGGAGAGATAACTGTGGGCAAAATCAAAAAGGTAGCGTTTCAGGAGGCTTTTAAAGACCGTTAGGCAGGGGTTGAGGCTAGAGAGGGAGATCCACAAGGTCGAGGCATAATGAATGAAAGCTCGGTCACTAATGGTGGGGCAAAGGGGTCAAAGTGAACAATGATAATTCTGCAGGTGCGATTGCCCACCGTGTGGGGAGGTTACAAATCCCAAGGGCACTGTTGCAATGAGACTGGAAACGTCACATAGATAAGAAAAACAATCAATAGCAAGTGGTTGTAAAGTCAACCTCTTTTTTTTCTTCTTAGTGCAATTTTTTGAGCGGGTTTGGGATTTAAGCTGAGTTTCACTGAGCTGGTTTTGTGTTATTTTCGCCCCGCGTGACTCAGCTAGAAATGTGCTCTTAAACAGTTAAGTGTTGGTGAGTGTGAAGGCAGCGAGTGCAGCGATGGAGATGGGAGAGAAGGCAGAGAGCTGCAGCCGCTCACTCGGAGCTCTAGCGTTACCTTAATGTGGCAGCCAAGTAAACCAGCTCCACGCAATCTATATGAATGGAGTCAGTGCGGAATCTTTGTAACATGGCAATGATTATTAATGACATAAAAATCAAGATTTAGTCATCTCCACAGTTAAAACCTTCACATTAAATAAGAATGCAGTCACGCCTGCAAAATAAAAGAAATCACTGCACCATGCTTTGTCAAATCCTTAACAGCCAAACGGTGCATCAAAGAGAGAGAGAGATAGCACTAACTCTCAGCATGAACGGTAAATAGGTGTTGACAGTAAATGCCAAACAGCAAAATCAAAAATCAAACAATTTATATATTTTCCACATGAAATACCTGAACGTTGAAATATTTTGTCTCTTGAAGCCAGAACGTGTCTCTTAAAAATATAAATCCAGCAATCGAATGGTGGTGGGGGGTTGGGGGGAGGAGGAGGAAACAATTGTAAAATAATAATTGAGCTTCCACAGCTCCCTTTGGTCAATCAATGGTAGAATCCAGCTGAATAATCCAAGCTGCCGAATATCAGACCAGCAGTCACAAGCAGAAGGCAATAGTGATAGCTCTAACAGCATTATCAGTCTCACGTCGACCCAGCCCAGCCCAATGTGTGCAGCTTAGCAGTGAACACAAGAAGACACCGCGGAAAGTGATGCAGCCATGAAAATTGCTCTAGAGCACAGGGTGAGCATCCTCATCCCACATCCATTGTTCCTCCCACACCCAAGCAGCATTATCTCAGCTAAAGAGTGGGTTGCAGATAGAGACATCATTGCACTGTGACATTTCTCTGTGTCGGAGACCACCTACCTGTGAACGGCACTGTATGAAAGCATATGAAAAGGAGAGGGAAAACAGCAACAATGAAGGGAAAATGGTTGAACAATGGTAAAACTATTCTCAGTTTCTCTCTCGCACACATACACATATGCACAAGTATAGAATGACAAGGTTAAGATACATATGAAAAACAAGACCTTAGACACCATGGTGATTTGTTCACTAAAGCTGACCGACACACCTTATCTCACAACAATGTTCCATTTACCTTGATAATTGGAAAGGATGGATTTGTTTTTGATTAAACACATAACATCTCACAGTACACATCGAGAAATTGTATCCTTCCTTATGGGGAAATGGGTTCCTCCATGAAATTGTGAACTGTATTCCTCTCTACAAAAGAGTGTTGCAGGAGTTCATTATTGTGAGCACAATCCCCCATGTGCTACCCATCCTATGGAGGTGTGCTGGAGTCAACGTACCATGTAGTGCTGTAGGGAACCATGACAGGCAGTAGGATTATAGGGCACACCACGTTTTTATTAAATTGGTGCTCAATCTGTGTTCTGCAACTAAAATGTATTGTGCAAATGCATGGGTGTGGCCTTGTCACACATTTATAGCTCATCAGTTTTACCCAGTTATTTGTAGAACAAAAGTAAAATGCCAGGTGATGGCAAGGAGCCCTTTTATATGGGCTGGAACAGAATCATCGGGACACCATACCTGTGCTAAATACACAAGAGAGGGGGACAACAAGAGAGGGGGACAACAAGAGAGATTGAGAAAAACAAGAGAGAAATAAAGAGAGGAGGGGAAAATGAGAGAGAAATTAAACAGATAAATAGAAATGAGAGAGAGATAGGGAAATGAGAGACAGGGAAATGAGAGAGAGGAAAATTAGAGGGAAATGAGAGGGAGAGATAAGAGAAATTAAGATATAGGGTGAGAGATACAAGAGTGTATGTGATAAAGAGAGAATGTGGGAAAACATTAAAAAAGAGAGAAACAGGGTGAGTAAAAAGAGAGTGTAAATGTAAAAAATCAGAGAGCCAGAGAGTGGGTGGGAAAAAACAAGAGAGAGTGTGTGGGTGGGGAAAATGAGAGCAGGTGGAAAAATGAGAGAGTGGGTGAAAAAATGAAACTTCTGTGGTCATGAGAGGCAGTGTGTGACATGGGATTTCAGGGAATTCACAATCATTAAGCAAGACTGGGGGGGGGGAGCGAAGGCTATAGCTGATAAGTTGCCATTTGTTAGTAAAATTGAAGAACAGTTCTCATCTGGGCTCTACTGCAAAGATTAAGAATGGACAGATCAAAGATGGGACAAGAGCAGTCTGGTTGCCAGCGAAGTGTATTTCTCTCTACAAAATGGTGGAGTAGGAGCTCATTATGTTGTCAATATGATTTTGTTTTGTTGCAAACTTGCCAGTTATTCAGTAGCAGACTGGCGACAGACGGGAACCTTTTACTTCAGAAACGCCTGTACTCTTTGTCCTGCTAAACTAACAACAGCTGTTCAAAGTGTGAAGCTGAGCAGCACCCTTCAGCAAAGGTACTGGGGTTTCTAGATTGCTGCAAACACAGATGCTGTCGACAGGAAAAATCCCCAGGAGCTTTCTCTGGTTAACCCACTGGCAATGCTTTGTATAATGCTGTGCAATTATCATGTGAGGATTACACTGAGGTTTTGAATAGGAAGCAGCTAAACAGAATTCGTAGCTTTCTGCAGCTTTAGATGTTGCTTTTTAGAATATAACTTCATGTTATGTTATATCTCAGTAGCAATACAGAAATATGTTTACATTACTACCGTGTTTTGCGGTCACATGAGCAATATCTTCTTGAACTGTATATCTAAAGATCAGAACAATCTCAAGACATAACCGTTTTCACTCCACTCTAACCTCCATCTATTGTGTAGCCTAGAATTATTTTACCCTAAGTAAATAATTGACCGAAACACTGACTATCTTGTCTCGACTTGGGATGTCCTCCCGACATGAAAGGCGCTATACAAATGTAATTTTGTTGTTGTTGTAAGTATATGAAACATGAAGTAAGCATTTTCAGGTAAATTCTTTTCAGCCTTTGGATCCACTGAAGTGATATTTAGGGTAACATACAGCAGGATTAATCTGTGTTGAATCTCTTATACTTATTGAATTGCTAGTCCTATCTTGATTCAGTTAAGAGGTTTACTTGTGTACTGGATAACTGGTTGCATTAGTCACCCATGGGATGAGCGGGATGGGAAGAAAATGAGATAGGGAGAAAGGGAACTTGAATATTTTAATAGATATTGTAGAAAATGTCAAGTATTTTATGTATTATTCATGTTTAAGTTTGAAAACGTAGTGAGGGATAAGAATTAAGGTAGCAATGGCATAATATATAATAAGAATCCTTGCATTTGATATAGCGCTTTTCACGTCTTCTAGATGTCTCAAAGCGCTTCACAGAATATACTGTATAGTGAATTGACTGTATATTTGTGGACGTAACGTGACAACCAATTGCGCACAGCAGTGTCCCACAAACAATCGTGGATTGAAGTGGCCAGTTTATTATTCTTTTTTTCTTGAGAGATTATTATCAGGCATGTGGAGTAAGAAACTTGCCCAATATATCCCAGTCTCATGAGTAGACTCTGATCTGCACCAGAAATCCCTTTTTAAGAATACTGTGGCTCCCAGCAGCTCACATTTATGCCATCTGAAGATTGCGAGTTCAAGCCCCAATTTGAGACTTTGAACTCACATAGTCTAGGCTGACACTCCAATGCAGTGAAGGGGATGTGCTGCATGGTTGGAGGTTCTATCCTTCAGGTGTAACATTAAATCGAGGTTCCTTTTGCCTGTTGACGTGGGTGTTAAAAGATCCCATTGAACGATTCAAGAAGAGAAGGGTGTTTCTCTCAATCTCTAAGCCAAAAATCCTCCATATAAAATTGGTCATTAACTTCATGGCTGTTTGTGGGACGTTGCTGTGCTACAAATTGTTGCTTCATTTGCCTCCAAAATATCTTCACTCCACTTTGCAGTAAAACCTGTAAAGCACTTTAAGATGTCGTCCCAATGCAAAAGGCACAATATCAAGTGTATTTATTATTGTTATATTTTGGCTGATTCACAGTGGAATTGCAGTGGAAAAAGTTCTTGATTCTCAAAGTGTGGCCCACTATTGCTGACAAAATGCCACTCTCACAGGCCGTTCTCTGACGAACAGCAAACTTTTGGGTTTCATTTGCATACTTTCAAATCAGCCTGGAAACTCAAACTGTCGAAATATCTCAAAAGGATTGATCAATTATACTGTAAAAAGGATTGACTGTGGGCGAACGAGGCAGCCAGTTGTGCACATCAATAACCCACAATTTTCTGACTCAGGCAAGAGTGCTTACCACTGAGCCGGGCTAACACTCTTTTCTGTGAGATTCGCAAAATGACAGTTTTAACAGAAAAATACGCTGTTCAGAAACTGCCAAAGGTTTTCTTCTCCAGGTATTTTGTAACAATGTGGTAGCTTTCAGAAATTACATATTACTGCAAATTTGAAAGCAAAAGAGAAGTCACAATTAGCACTTTGCACCTATCTTGCAAAGACTGAAAAATATTGTCTTTGTTGCTGCTAACCTAATAGCATCATTAGACCTCCATTTATGAATAGCACTCTTAATATATTACTGCAAACAGTCAAGCACACATGAGCAGATGTTATGAAGTTTGGCTCCTTTTAGAGTAGAGGTATCAGACTAAAATAATACTGTAAATGGGTCATAAGTGTGAGAGCGCTCAAATGATCACAAGCTTATTTAAGTGGAAACAGTGAGTACAAAAGTGAATAGTTTACCACATATTTGTATAAATAAACTACCATGACTATTAGAGAATGTGACGCGTGATCTAGTGTAAAGCTAGACAGTGTACTTGGTGTTATACCGAGCTGATTGATAAACAGTAATTAGATGTGGACATACTTCATCAGTAAGTGTAAAAAATTTGAACACAAACATTTCTCCCTTTGTACAATTTTCTGATTAAAGATTGCTTTGGTTGACCCTACTAATCGTTACTCTGCTACTGTTTATTGGCTGTTAAAACATTGGCTGGTTGACAGCTAATGCCAGTTAATTTATTGTGGGGAAAAAGTCCGACATCCAAAACGTGTGGTGGAAGCAGGAAGATAGAAGAAAAGGAAATGATGAGTTTATTAAACGTAGAGTAGCTGTAAAATATTGAGGATAAAGTTAAATTAAAAAAACAGAGAAAGTATGGACAAGAGGACAACACAGAATGGAAAAGGGCAACCGGACAAACAACGGTAAAGGTTTCAGAAAGTTTTCAATTTCAAATTATTTCCTCAATTGATATCAGTAGAACAGGGTTAATGTTGCATTGCTAATGCTGTTGGTAAGTTTATTACATTAATATTCTTGTATGTTGGGGGGGGCGTATGGGGATAGAACATAACAGGACATGAGCTGAAAAACATACAGAATTAGTTGCCCATAGGGACAGGTATCTCCCCAGCTGTCAGTTGTCAAATGGTTAATTGGAATTACAGGTTCAATGATTCAAAACACAGAACAGGAAGTGGCAGTGGACCACTGAATCCTTTCGGATAGCACAAAAACCAAAATCACCAGTTGACATGAGAACATTTAGCGATGGCCCAGTTGCTGCTGGATTACATATTCTTATGAAATTGTTTTCCTCTGGAAGTGAACTTGCACAGTGGATATTGCACCTGTATTCGGTCAGTGTTTTAAACATCCATGATCTAACATTGCATTCGGATCAAGCCCCACCCACCCCAATAAAAAAAAGCAAGACTACCTGTCTGAGCGCTCTCCTAAACGCCCTAATCCTCTGTACATCATATTGTCCAGATAACGACTGCTGGGTAAAGAGTCATCTCCAAGCTCTTTCAGGTCCTCTGCTCTAAGATACTCTCCTCCATCTCCAGTCATTGTATCATCTCCTTGGGAGCAAGAAAGAGTTTGATCAGTCAGGAGACGTACGTCGGTTGCTATGCAATCCCAGAGTAAAACCACGCAGCTGGAAACTAGCCACTCATGGCAATGCGGTAATGAAGCAGGAAGTGCTCATCACTAAAGGCTTAAGAAAATGTATAAACAGAACCTACTGGCTGCAATACATCACAACAATTAAACACACAGCAACTGAGGTAAGTTGGATTCTCTCCATTACACAGAATTGGGAGGACAGGTGACTAAAATACAAGGTATGAATCAGAGTGACACTGTACACATCCTGACAAGATGTGGAGCAAAAAAGGAAATCTACTTGACCACAAACAATCAAACGTCAAAATGGTCTCAATGTAGCTGTAGCATTCTAGCAATTGTAACATTTTAGTCAGATTTTTATACATTGAGAAGACTCATAATGTCCAACTTTATTAGAATAGTCTAATTCAAATCGGTGATCAGATCCACAGGATAGTGCAGTCATGGAATGCTTCTTACATAGAAAAACACCTTTAAAACACACAATTCTGCACGTTTCGCCCCGCCCAGGAATCAAACCCAGATCCTTTCGCAAGTGAGAGGACTTGGGTTTGAGTTCCGGGCAGGGTTGAAACGTTGGACAAGTTTCCTTACTCCACATGTTCACCTAGCAGTAAGGAGGATCCCAGTTGTTAGTCGATTGGTGGATCACTTTTCTGGGAGTAATAATCCCTTTAAAACAATTTTTTAAAAACAATAGTTTGGTCACTCAATCCACGACTGTTTGTAGGACACTGCTGTGTGCGATTGGCTGCCACGTTTCACCCACAAAATATACAGTTAATTCACTATACAGCATATTCTGTGAAGCGCTTTGAGACGTCTCAAAATCATGATAAGGCGCTATATCAAATGCAAGGAAATCCAAATGCAAAGATTATGTAGCATTGATCCACAGTTTATGCAGCCAATTGTTTAAATAGTAAGGAAGCTATTTTCAAATATTATCAATAACATCTTTTGCTAGCTCAGTAAACATGCTAAGCCAATTCAAGGATTATTATTATTATATCCCCCAATCCCTTTACTGTCAACATTTTTCTGAAACTATTTTGAAACTGCAACCACTAATATTTTAAAAAATCAGTTTGAGATTCAACCACCCTTCCAGGCAACCTGTTTTAGTCATTAATTCCCTCTGGGTAAAGATGACAAGTTTATGATCTGAGCCTTTAGTCACGAAAAGAATTTGGTAGGAAATGTCAATTATTATAGTTTCCATATCAAATGATTGATAGTGTTCCCACTCATGATCAACAACTCTGAAATTGTTGATGTAAGTGTATCAATTAATACCTCATTTGCAGTGAATTAAGAATCAACTTACTACATTCTGAATGTAAATTAACAATAATATTTCTTTGAAATACAAACAGAACTGAAAAAACCTTTATACAATACAAATTTATATTTATGTCACACCTTTTATGTCAGGATGACATCCTAGAGCTCTTAATAGTATTGACTGGGCACCTGAGCTGAGGGTGAGAGCTGAGAAAGATGATTGAAAGCATAGTCAAAGACGGATGTCTTCAGAAAAACCTTGAAAAAGTGAGGGATGGAGTCGGAAGCCCTCTGGGATGGAGTTCCAGAGATTGGGGGTAGAAAGGCTAAAAGCCTGCCCACTAATGGTGTGGCTGGTAGAGCGATAGACATAAAACAGGTCAGTGCTTGTTGAGCACAGGGATGTTTTATGATGGTGTTTTGCTTCAACCAGGGTTTAGAACTTCCCTCATTAGAAAATAGTATTGTTAGAAAAGATGACACCTTGTATCATGTAATTTAGCCGAAACATCCTCATTTTGATTTGAAATGGAAGTATGTGCAGAAGGCTTAATTTGCATCATTTTGGTAACCTCTCTATTTTCATCACTAAACAAGAGGGAAAAAAATCCTATATAAAAAAAATGGATCAGATAGTGACATAAGCGACATATCAACTTACATTTTAATAACCATTTACTTGTTTTTGCTTGTACACAACTGATTCACTCACTCAAAAATATTTGTGGAGACTTTGTCTTGTTTATTTATATTAGTTGCACAATATGTGTATGCCAAATATAAGGATTATTATTATTAATATTCATGAATCGTGATGGTAATTCAATGGTGAACAACAGTAAAATATCAGACCTAGTAGGGGATCTATGCAGTATTAAGTGACATCAGGGCTAAAACACTGTATTCGAGGCAGGAATTGCAAACACAAAGAGTCACACCTGCTGATAACTAGGGGTGCCCTGCGCCAACTTTCACTCGGAGGTAGGTTGCAATGACAACAACAACTTGCATTTATGTAGCATCTTTCACAGAGAACACTTGACAGTGGTGGATCTTGACGCCTAGCCGGGGAAAGAGGGTGGTGACTGTTAGCATGATAGAAGAGGAAGGGATTCAGGTGTGATCTGAAGATGGCAAGAAGGAAACAAAGCAGAGGGATTGAGGCCGAGAGTTCCATAGTTTCAGGTTGTAATAGTGGAAAGCATGGCCACCAATGGTGGAGCGGACAAGGGACGTGCAGAAGGCGGGAGCCAGCTGATCAAAGGTCGGATTGCGGAGTGGGGAGTATGCCGATTGGAGAAGTAGGGAAATGCCATGGCATGAAGTGATTTGTACACAAGTGTGAGGATCTTGAAATTGATCCATTCTGCAATAGGTAACCAGTGGAGCCTAGTACGGACTGGGGTGAAGGGGGCACAGAGTTTGGTGTGAGTGAGGATACAGGCAGTGGAATTTTGAATTATTTGGATTTTATGAATGGTGAATCTGTGAAGACTACTGAGGAGGTGTGGATCGATGAAACTATGTTAACTTGAACATTATGCTGTTGTACTGCTATATATTTTGTCTAAAATGAATAATTACTCAACATTTGCACCTGTGAATTTCACTATTAAACTGCATCAAAAATAGGCATTGGACACGATATGAACATTCATGATCTGCGCTGATTACAGAGGTGGGTTTGATTTGAGAGGAGAGAATTCTAGCCTTCCTTGGAATACACAGATCATTTTTCTTTATAGCTGACATTGCACAATTCAATCTGACTGCTTATACATTTCCCCCCCATAAGCAGAAATATTTTCGTAATTTATTAATTGATCCCGTTGTGGAGTCCTGTAGTTCAGTGGTTAGAGCACTCGCCTTGCAAGTGAGAGACCTGGATTCGATTCCTGGCAGGTCGAAACCTTGGGCAAATTTCCTTACTTCACACGCTTGATAATAATCCCTCAACAAAAAAAATAATAATAATTTGGTCACTCAATCCACGACTGTTTGTGGTTCACTGCTGTGTGCAATTGGCTGCTGCGTTTCGCCCATAAATATCCAGTCAATTTACTTTACAGTATATTCTATGAAGCGCTTTGAGACGTCTAGAAGAAGTGAAAAGCGCTATATCAAATGCAAGGATTATTATATTATGTAACCTTGGTTGTGAGCATCAGAATTTTTAAAAATGAGTAATGTCTGTGTGTGTCTTGTAATTACTTTAATGTCCTTGATCATGTTTGTTGTAAATGGGTAGAAAGAGGTTGCGTAACCAGATGGTCTTTGTATGTAGATGACCCTGCGGGAATGGGAGGAGTGTCACTCGAACCAAGAGAGTGAGGTCCCACTGAGGTGGATGAGGGAGGAAAGGCAGTGGAGGAAGATGGCGTGATCGACTGTATCGAACGCAGCAGAGAGGTCCGGGAAGACAAGGTGGCAGAGGGAGCCCTGGTCAGAGAGAGAGGCCATAATTTATGACTTTAACAAGACGCTGTCTCGTTGCTGTGAGCAGGGCGCAAATTGACTTAAGGAGCTCAAGGAGGGGGTAGAGGGAGAGGTGTGAGCGAAGTTGATTGGCAACAATCTATTCCAGAACTTTAGCAAGGAAAAACAAGTTGTGAATAGGCCGGTAGTTTCAGGTTAGAGGGATTGAGGATGGGATTTTTGAGGAGTGTGTGATGACAGTGGCTTTGAGGGGGAGTGGGAAGGAGCCTGAGGAGAGGAACTGGACAATTGTGTTTACCATCAGGCGGCAAAGGAGGGGGAGTTGGGTGACAGGCAACTGTTTGGGGGTGAGGCAGTAGATGATGGGCTTCATATGGAGGAAGAGAGGGAGGAAGGAGAAATGGGAGCAAAGGAATGTAGGTTGGGGCAGTGGTAAGAGAAGTGGTGGAAAGAGTCATTAATGCAGAAAGGGGTCGCTGGGGAAAATAAGGAAGGAAGGGAAGGCAGCCAAGCAGATGTTATCTGTCTTTGAGCTTAAGTACTCCAGGACCTCTTTGAATCTGGCATTTGCATGGGAAGAAATTCCGCAGTGTCACAGTTCCAGGCGCTGACAGCAGATCTGAAATTTCACTTAGTCTTAGTTCGCAAGATAACTTTGTCTTAAAAGTTAATACTGCATAGAAATGTGGAAACAACTTCAATTCGTATTAATTTGGAAGCAGGTTTTCAGAGATAAGAGTCGCTATTTGCCACGCCCATCACAAGTATCGTGTTTTAGACTTCATTCACTTCATACTGTGTCAATGGACCAGTAAATCTGATATAATCCACGACTGTTTGTGGGATAATGCTGTGCTCAATTGGCTGCCGCATTTCGCCCACAAAATATACAGTCAATTCACAATTCAATTCACTTTATTCTGTGAAGCATTTTGAGACATCTCGATAAGGCGCTATATCAAATGCAAGGATTATTATTATTATACTGTTGTTCATCATTAAACGTAGTTGAAATGTAATCTAAATCTGAGGTGCTATTTTCTGTTACAGATTATCACTGGTGATAATTATCACATTGTGGTCAAAAAATAGTCAATAAACATCATTCCCCTTCTTGCCTTCTTGTTAGTGATAACTATTGACAATTTTGACCACAGTTTCACTCAATGTGGTTACACATGTCACAATTTTGATCCCACACTAGACTCTTAACAATTTGTCAATATGAATC